TTTTTAAAGAAGATCAAATGGATGTACCTCGCAGGCCAGGACCCAGTCGAGTGGGCGAGACTTCACTAGCTCCAGACCTCCACCGACCTCGAGGAGTCTTTAATAAGATCATGATCTCTCCAGATGAGTGGCGACAAGTGCGAGACCTAATTAATATACTACAGGTAAGAATTTCTTTAATGTTAATGACATATAATTAACAATGCATTCTTTATTAACGTCTTTATTCCTGTAGCAATTCGAGAATTTGACCAAGTTTTTTGAGCAGAGTGGACCCACAGGCGCCCTGGTGATCCGCGAGGATGTGAAGCTCAAGAAAACTTTGCAAAAGAAAATTGATGCAACCCTTTCCCGGGCCGAGCCGTTATTTCCATTGTATTATGCTATGCTTGTGAGAGTCAAGGCCTATCCGAAGGAGGCACTTGACTCTCACACACTTATTCTCGCAACGATATTACATCCTAGCTTACGCCTCGATTACTTCGAGTTTGCTTTTGGAGAATCATCCGAAGAAACCGTACTCGCTAAAGAATTGATTGAAACAGCGTATGCGGAAAAGAAACTCAAAATGGAAATCGACGGACCTTATGAACCGATCACAGCAAACTCCACCCGTGTTGTCAATGGCAAAAGTTTAGGTGCAGCGGAAGACGATGAAGAGTTGCGAAAACACAAAGCAAAGAATCGAAGGAACACAGCAAACGAGCTGCGCTCATTTTTAGAAATGGCAGAAGATCCTGCGCCAGAGGTTGGTGAGAACCCCCACCTGGCTTTGGAGTGGTGGAAGGTGAGTAGAGTACCTCCTTTCATCAAATCTTGGAATCAATAAATCATCAATAATTAACTATGACTCTTTGTATAGTTGAATGAAGGGAAGTATCCGATTTTGAGCTGCCTGGCTCGCGATTACTTGGCTATTAGTGGGACGTCTTGCGCGGTTGAGAGAGGCTTCTCATGTGCTGCTGATATTTGCACCAGAGACCAAAGCTCTCTCAAACCACGACCAATTGAACGTTTGGTTTGCGGGCGTATGTGGTCAGTAGAAGGGGTTCAGATGAAGGGAAAATTTCATAAAGCAGGGGAAATTATGAATCAATGTATAGCTAATGATTCAGCATGTCGTGCTCGTGTGAGGAGGTCATGAAAAAAACTCAATTTAACTCTTTCTCTACTTAATAATAAACTTAATGTCTGTTTTCAATTTCAATCTATATTTGTTACCTATTCAATTATTTTTCTATGAATAAACAAGTTAGTATCTTAAATTTTTCAATATACTCGATGTGCCAGGTACCAGCTCAAGGTAGGGTAAAATACTGGACAGTACCTGCAAGTAGATACGGTAAAGTACAGTACCTACTTGCAAACCTGAGATACTGGTACAGTACCGTACCTAGCGGAATTCAAAATTACTTTACTGCTGGGCAGTTTTTACGGTACCTAAATTTTAGGTACGGTACTGAGTACTGTACCTGGTGCAAGGTACTGTACCAAGTACCTGTATTTGCAGTATCGAAGAAACCAGGTACTTTACTAGTATCCACGATACTTTACCAGTACAGTAACTGTGGCTGCGTTGATGTCAACATGGAAACAGCCAAAGGAGATCACACAAGCACCAGAGAGTGTCATTTGCTGCGGTTTTCCGTGCATGTTTTGGATCTTGAATCATCAAAATTGGTCGATGTTCACTGCCAAAGAGAGGTACCTTCACCTAGACCTCTTGCTCTTTGTTGATATAGGTCAGATAAGCGGTTGTAGATTCCATGAGTTGCTCTTGTGCAGCCAGCTCTGTAGCTGCTCCGTCTGAGCCAAGTGAAATAAGGTTGATGCCAGCTTTTTGGCATTGTCCAATAAATTCAAGACTCTGAGCGGCCGGTTCTTTGGCTGTATCTTTGCTCCAGCTGGCTATTATTGCAACTACATAGGTTGACATGTTGGGTAAGGGGATTTGAATTGTATAAGCTCAAATCTGATGCAGATTAATTGTGAGTTAGTCTACTCATTGAGAAAGAGTGAAGAAATTCAGAGAAGTGAACAGGCATACCTTTGAGCGCAGTTGATTGTTTGTGACCACAGTGTAGAACTCTTTCAGTACACAGCTGAAAGCAGAGCCAAGAAGGGGAGGAATGAAGACACAACCAACAACACACACAATCAAAAGAGGAATAAGTTTTGAGATGGTGAATTGAAAGACTTCAAACAAAGAAAGAAATGCCCTTCTTAAAACAGGGACTTTGATTATCAATGAATTAAATTCAAGACCTTCAAGTCTTTGGATTAATAAAAACCAGGCTAAAAGAGGACAATAAAATCAAAAGTAGCACTATCTAGGCGCACTCAGGCACCTTCCAAATGAGCAAATGAGCTTACAACTCAACAAGAAATTATTAAAAGTGAATCAAGGGTCTAATATTATAAAATCCCAACTCTCATTAGTTGTTTACCCAGATAATAATAATAAAAAGATACAAAGCTTTATTCTAAATTCTAATGATAATTTTTGCTAACTAAAAGGCTCCCAAAGGGGAGGAAAAGAGACACTTGACTATATGAAAATTGAAACACACACAAAAAAAAAAGAAAGTAGGACAAAAACACCCCTCAAACTCGAAATTCATCCTCATACAACTTTTTCACAGCATAACTCTCAATGAACCCCCAAATTAAAATTGATAAACATCTTCAACGTACCCACATGTATCATTCACAAATTTTCAAGCACACATTTATCATTAAAACTGATCTGTTTACCACAACAACTGAAAAATCCGCCAATTCACCCTTGAAACCTGAAAAAAGATAAGAAATAGGGACTGTATCAAAAGTCTGAATATACAGAAAGGAAGATCTGCTTCCGCTCTACAACTTTGCTCAGCCAAGCTAAACTCTAACTCTATTGGTTGTACCCTTAAAATGAAATTCGATTTATGTGAAAATACTCGAAATTGAATTTACCCAGTTTACCACCTGATATTACCACTGATGATGATGTATATGGAATCAGTTTCCGCTTGTTTGGCAAACAGTCCGCTGAGCTACCCATAGAGGCCCGTGGCCTGGAATTTCATGAGAGAGAATCGCGGCCCGGGCTGCAAAAGGTGGGAGAGCACTGTGGGTGGCCCGACTTGGCGCTGAGACGTCCCACTGTGACACTCCCCGCTCTCCCTGGACAACAGAAAAAAGAAATACATGCGGTATAGTGATGAAATTTGAGCTGCGCGAAACTTGAACCCTCTGTCTGACAGGAAGGGTGGTGGGCGGGAAAACAAAATTTTTGAGCAATTACGAATAAAATAGACTGAATTGAAGAATTGAATAGTAACTAATTAATGAAACTGAGCACAGGATTTTGCTATTGGACGATATTGGAGACAAGATCACAACTGCAAGAGATGGAGACTGGGAAACTGTGGACCATGTCCTAGAGTGGCACAAACAAACCCATTGAGGGAGTTTTTCGTATGCCTTTCTTTCTTTGATGCACATCATCTGGGATTAGGGAGCACGCGCTGGCCTGTTTGCGCTTGTGACATTCGCTGTTACACAGATTCCGCTATGTTAACATTTCATGCCAACTACGAGGTTTATAATTGGTTTTTCATGTTCATATGCGAAAATAGAACCCTCCCCAACTTATTTCTAGGCTGATAAGATGCTGTGGTACCCTAAAATCAAAGTTGTATGATTGAAAATAGCACTTTTTATGATTTTGAAAGTGATTTTTGAGTTTCAAATCCACCCTTTTCATATGTAATGTTTAATTTGCCAATGCTGTTGTTTGATAATCCCATAAATCTATCTTTCAAAGTGATCCCTGCTTGCTTTTTCAGTTTACCACCCCAGTTTACCACCACCCCAGTTTACCACCATCTGTCTGAGTTGTTGGATTTTCGAAATTCAGCCTTATTTAAACCCATACCTCAAAACCATGATTCCTCTACACAACACATTAAACCCATACATATCTTTAAACATAACTATTAAAACCCATAATTTTCGAAATTCCAACTTGAAACCTGTATACTCCCCATAACCCATATATCACTCAACTACACATAAGTTCTAAACCCATAATTTCGACTTTTGGCTTCATTTTACACTACACCCCCTACACATAACCATTACACTCAAAAATCAACATGTAACATATAAAAATAAAATGAAACAAAATGAAATATGATAAAATAAAATGACAAAATAATAAAATAAAATGAATAAAATAAAATAAAAAAAATAAAACTAAACATGAATTGTGTATTTGTCTCTTGAATACTTTTGATTACCACAACGGACTTCACCAAGCACTCAATATCATCACCATCACTAAAAGACATATCACCCCCTTGTGCTCCTACCAAGTAACCATTGTAGTGTTGCATTGCCTTTACACAAACTGTCTCATCAGTTTCTGCTGCAACTGGGCCAGTATACTCAAGTTCTTCAAGTATCTTTGCTAGTTTCTCAAAATTATCTGGGCGCAGACCATCTTTAAGATGCATACCTTGGACAAGTTGAATTTGCCGCATGCTACATGCCCCACGACCTGCAAAGTTGTTGTTGAAAAACCTAAGAGCTCAAGGGTTTATGGTTGCTAGAGTTGTGAGAAAGTTGTCAAAGTATACATTGAATTGACGGCCACACATTGATTTTCCATTTGATTCACGTTCAGCTTGCACACCCACTGCCATCATCAGTCCACGTACAGACTCTTGATTCTTGAATAATCCAGCTTTTCCATATACACCAATTGCTTTCCAGAATGCTTCATCACCTTCTTTCATTGATTTCTCCAATGACGTCTGAAGTACTTGAATTTCAGAATATTTGTGTAAAATTGCTTGAAATTGGTCTCTGGTCATCAATACTTTTGGAATGTACTTGATTGTATCTTCAGTTGTGTATTGTGTATTGATAGCAAAAATCACACTTTATAACTTCTTCAAAGCTTCACAATTCTCACAGATTGTAAACTCCACCTTTGAAGTAGTGACAACTGTTCAGGTACATTCAACCGAGTGGATTGCTGCCTGCACCCTGTGTGGCTTGATCATCCAGGTTGCTTCGGATTCTGGAGTCGAATGGAGTTGTTGGCGTTGTTCATCCAACAGTGTAATCTTGTGAGTAGTTCCAAAAAATCCAAGACAGACTTTCCAACGCTTTGCCCCGTGGTAAGGTGTTGGTGAATGCTTGATACATTTGGCAATGGTAGTCTTGCCTTGTGGTTGCGTCCAGTTTTTGTCGTTTAGACCGGAACATGGCTTTGTTACAGCATTCTTTTTACTTGTCATTGTCACCCAAGAGGAGAGGCTGGAGTTATTCCAGACTAGCTTTGTTTGATTCTTACATCTGCCTAACTCACAAATGAAGCTGACTAGCACATCAGCGGCGGGCCGCCGCGTTCAAAGGTCTAAACACAGCCCCCATCTACTAGGCTCTGGCAGGCCAGAGCCTACCACTGACTCCATGAAAGATCCATGAAAGATTCATGAAAGATTCAGAAAGATTTCAAAATGACTTCAACATAATATCATATGGGGCCATTTGCCTGTCCGACCACCAAAATTCAGATGTCATCATATGATGTCATAAATCTGTACACACCTGCTCCTGTATTCACAGATCAAGAATATATAGTCTATTAAACTTTATTGTGTAGATTGACTGAGTTATTGAGGTTTGAAAAAAATAACGGACAAAAAATACTATCTTTGTACTATACATAAGACTGGGATCTTGGGTATCTTAAATATTTATCAATATACATATAAAATAAATCTTATATTCCACTGTACAATACATGTCTCTACAGTTTTTATTCTTGCAGCCTTTGTCCATAAGGCATGTTTCTATATGTAATTGTGAATTCTACATGAGCAGTCCAATCTTTCCCTGATTTGTTGATTCTAGGAAGGATATGAATAAATTGATGGCAGAAACTTTTGGAAATTATTATTTACATGTATATCAGTCTATTTGTGCCTAATTTGGGCCCTACATTTGATCACAATTTGCCTCAAGGTCAAAGAACTTCAGAAAATCCAGCTTCTGTATATAATCCACAATTACATATAAAAATACTACGCAAGAAAGAGCAAAAATTAGCTACAGATTGGAAAAAGGTAGAGTCAAGTACTTACAGTAGGATGATATTCGGAGTGCTGAACAGTCACAACAGTGGTTAAGGGGTCCTCCGTGGCACCCACCTTCTTGAGATAATGACAGCACACCTCAACAATTGTCTTCTTCTTGAGTAAAACACCTACACCGGTGATACCGACAGCATTGATGGTTTCCCCTAGAAAGTTGTTGGCCTGAGCTAACAATATAGCCTCGCTCCCCTCAAAGATCAATTGATCTTGACTGGTTGTTGAGGAGTTCGAAGGAAAGAAAGACCCCCGTAAGAAGTAGATGTTATCTTGCCAGAGCCAAAATTGAGCGGCACCAAATCCTTTGGCTTGGATCTCGTACAACAGTCGGTGGTCACGATTGGCACCAGTGCAACCAATTGATACAGTGTAGGTTCGCCACTCAGGGCGCCACTCGTTCTTGGGAGATGTCTAATCAAGAAAATTAGAGTGAATAAAAGTAAAGAAAAAAGGAGTGAAAATCCAGAGCGAGGTCGTACCTTCTCCTCAAATTCAAACACTCCAAATACATAAAGTCCATGAAAGGTAGATTGGCTCATAATGATATTAGATTTTGGGTTATGTTTTGAAAGGAAGAGTTACGGAATTATAGATTTTTTTGGGTATAGTATCAGATGATTGTTAGCTTGGGGGAGTTTGAAGGCTTGAGGAATGTGAGACGTACAAATGGTCTGCACTACCTATATTCCACATATGATTTGAAGTCATGTATCATCAAAAAAGGTAGAGATTTCAGGGACCCTAATTATTGAAGGACTCATGGCCTAGTCTGACAATTGGTGATGGTCACAATCCAGCACTAACCTGGATATCAAGATGGATAAGCAATATGAATATCTTAGTTAGCAAAGATGGCTTCATACCCTGCTGAAAAAAACGTTGCTTACTGGTCATAGTGTGGTTGATATTCACTACAAAAAACCATATTCAAAGATTGCGAAGCTGAGACGTGACAGTAGGGATGGGTCACGTCACGGTACCCGTGTTGGGAATTTCCAAATGGCCGGGTATAAGATATTGGAGAGGGTTGTTCAACGGCTGCCCAGCGCCTGTCATTGGCATCAACCTCTAACTAATGCGGTATGAAAATCTTAATTAGCAACAAGGATTCATACTCTTCTGATACTTTTGTTACTCATTGGTGATAGCCTGGTAGATGTTCACTACAAAACACAATCTCTGAAGGTTGCCAAGATTGAAAGTTTGTACCCCTATTGGACATTTTGAATGGGCCCGGGCTAAAATCAAGCCACCGACTGTTGATAACCAATGCTGAGTCAATCAAATAGGGAAGAAGCGTCAGAATATGATCCAGTGAAAATGATACTAAAAGTGATATTTGTGTGACTTATCTGAGGTCAGAAGTTTGTAAACAACCTGTTGGTTAATTTTGAAACTGGCCGGCTTGATGATACGTGAAAACATGACAGATCACTGTACAAATACCATTGGTCTGAGGACACGCATCAATACATGAATTGTACTGTAGTATACCAAGCAGTGACCGGTTGTGTATCTTGAGAGTAGTTCGTGGGGCGAGACTGATTGCTCGAGAGTCAAAGTGGGCTTTTGAAGATGTGAGGAAAGAGGAGGAAGGTATTGGTCAGGTAGATAATTGTTGGGTGGATAAATGAGGTACCAATGGGTATAATTTGCAGTGTCAATTGACTAAAAGAGGTTTCTGACTTGGAGCAAAACTCTAATACTGGGGGTCAAATGAGTTTTGTTCGAGGTTTTGTAAGCAAAGCCGTCCGTTGTTTAACTATTATCATTCCACCTTTCCATACCTCTTCCTTTTGTTCAAAATTTTGCTTACTTCATATTCTATTTCATTGTTGATCACTACAGGAGCAGGTGGTTTGTTAGTTTGATTCTTAATTTCACTTTCTTTGAATCTTCTTAATAAGTTTACGTGAAAAACTGGATGTATTTCTTTCATAGAATCTGGTAGCTTTAACTTGAATGCATTAGTGTTAATTTGTTTAACAATTGGATAAGGACCCAACCATTTATGTGCAAACTTGGCTGATGGTCTCATTGTCGCAATATTCTTGCTGTTTACCCAGACTTTGTCATTGATTTTCCATTTTGGTGATGCCTGTACCTTCTTATTGAATTGAATGGTCATTGATTCTTGAGCTTGTTCCATTGCGCTTTTCAGTTCTTGCTGCACCTCTTTAATTCTCTTGAACTGTTCCTCAACAATGAGTAGGTATTGTCCCGGGTCAGGTACACCTGTGAAAGTTACGTCAAAACCATAATTAGCTTTAAATGGCGACATGCCTATCAATCTTCTGTAATCAAAACAAGGGCGTAAGTTGCCATTTTTTTTTCCCAGTGAACAGTACTGGAGCGGCCCAAGGTGATGTAGTTCTTCTGATAGTTCCATTAGATAGTCCTTTCTCAATCATTTCGTTTAGAGCATCATTTTCTTTCGGTGATAAAGGAATTATTCGGCCTGCTTGCGGAGTGGCACTGGGAATTAGATCCACTATGAAGTCATAAGGTCTGTGAGGCGGGAGGACGTTTGAATTATTCTTCTTGAACATATGCAGGTATTCATGGTAGGTAGTGGGTACTAGCTCAGCTGCGGTCTTGACAACTTGATCTTTCTTTTCATCGGCTGCTAATTTTGCTGAAATGTTCCACAACGTTTTGGCAGCAGCAATTTTATAAGTTGGGCATGACTGATTGAATTTGTAATGAAATTGGGTCGGCTTTGTGTATCTCTTCTCAATACTTGTTAATCCTTTCAAGAGTCGTTGTCTGTTCATCAAAGGAGAAACATGATTGCTACCGGTCTTTGAAACTTGATTTGATATGGTTGCATTGCACTCACATTGTAGGGGTGTATGTGAGTCTACTCTTGTGGACTCCACCCCCTCTTCACAGTTCCTAGCTTCCTTTGGTGCACTCCATTGGTCTGCCAAAGGGGTTTTTGAACTTGAAGATAATGTGTTGCTCAATGGTTCCTCTTTGCTTGTTTCTTGATTACCGGGTTCAGGTTGTAATTCTATAAGAGACACAAGCTTGCCAGCCGTTTCAATTAAATTAGATGGGGAAACAAACAATGACTCACATTGCGGGGGTGTTAAGGAGTCAAACTTGAACTCCACCCCCTCGTCACGGTTCTTAGCATGCCAAAGAGGCTCCTTAGACAACAACCAGGCTTTTTGCAGACCTGACGAAACTGTTTCAACAGTTGCAATTTCTTCTTTTTCTTTTTTGAGTTTACCAGATTTCCAATCAATGATTTCATAATTTTTCTTTATCCAAGGCATACCCAAGATTAGGTCATGCTTGTCACAGAGGTTAGTGACTATGAACGTCGTGGTGTCTTCATCTTCATTGATCTTTTACTAGCCTACTTCATTGATACGTGACTCATGTCCACTAAAACCTACCACAGTTTGTGATTCTTGCAACTGAGAAGTGCTAAGTGAGCGGGTTCAAACAAAGCTTAGTCTTACTGCTTTGTGAGTGGCTCCGCTGTCAATGAGGGCTTGGGCAAGGGTAGTTGTGGCTTTTTGTGGGTCATGTAGGGGAATGATGTCTATAATTCTAGTGTCTTTCATTAATAAACTACTAACATCTCCTAATTCATCCACAAATTGATTTGGGGGAGGCACAACGTTCACTCCCAAGCATTGCCATTTTTTGAGGACTCTGCTCTACTTTCATCCTTCTTTTCACTTTCACTTCCTCCTAAGCTACTTTCCATTTCCGCCACCCTTCCTTTAAATCTACTACCCCCTCTGCTAAAGCGACTGCCTCCCCTTCCTCTCCTTGATCTATCTGGACAACTAGCAATGTAATGATTGGTTTTTCCACATGAATAACAGGCTGACGAGGTTCCCCTTCTTCTATACTCTTCTCCAGATATGTTTAGTTGATAAGCTGAACAGTCCATCGCATTGGGGTCAATAGCTGGCGTAGAGGCAGGAGCAGTGATGTTTGATGTTGTCGGATAGGAGTTGTAATCTTGACGCTTATTGATTTTATTGTCCAATTTGATAGCAGTCTTCGCCATTTCCTCAGCATTTTAAAAACATCTCTCACCATGTATACCAAGATTTCCGTTTTCAAACCTTGCTCGAATTGAGATCTTAACACTGCTTCTGGCCATTTCACTACAAGTGACAGTTCTGAAAACTTGATCCAATAATTGGATACTGATCCTTTTTGTTTCAGGGCGCGTAATTCCTTTTCTGCCTTTGCAATCTGTTCAGAGTTGAAAAATGTTGCTTTGAAAGAGTTTATGAATTTTGCCCAGGTTACTAGATGCACATTTTCAGAATCTAACAGTTGATCTACTAAGCTTTGACCCCAGATACTAGCTTTGCCGGTTGTGTACAATAATGCAAACACTACTTTTGCTTGTTTGTTGGCAAATAAATTTCTGTTTAATTGTATGTAGAGACCTAATTGATTCATGAATACTTCTGCCTTTGAACCCTTGATACCGTCAAACTTGTCAGGAGTTGACATCTTTGGGAGTTTCTGAGATGGTACCAATTGATTAACATATACAGGTTGAGCAGGCAATGTTGACGTAGTAGGATTGGGCATCATAGGCATAGCAGTTTGCGTAGCGTTCAACATTGATATTTTATACTGTTGCAGGCGTTGCATGGCTTCACCGCCAACATAGATGCCTCGGATTGAAAAATCCGAGGCATCATCGGATGGAAACCCTCGGACAGGTCTTGTCCGAGGATTTGATCTGAGGTATTTTTTGACACAAAATAATACCTCAGATCAAAACCTCGGAAAGATTTTGTCCAAGGATTTGAGTCCAATGATACCTCGTATTTTTCAATCCGAGGCATCTTTGTTGGCTGTGCTTCTTCGCTGCGCTTCTCAGCTTCTTGGCGTTTCAGAGATTCTTTGGCTAGGCTAGCCTTGACTTTGGTGAACTGAGCATTCATTTGATTCAATTGCCGTAGGATTTTGGCCATGGTGGGATCTGCTTGAGGGTCCATTGTAGAATTACTAGATCTGTGAAAGACTTCTATAAACTTCTCAGAGCTCTTGCTCGACTCCAAGGCCCAAGAATTAGTGTGAGCTTTGAAATCAGGCGTTGTGACTGATTTTAATGATGTGGTGTGAATATGAACGAGGTTGGTTGAATATTGCTAACTTTACTTGCGGTTTGTGAATGGTGAGTGGTGAGTGGTATATTTCGGATTTAGAGAGATCTAGATTTCTACTTGATACTGAATCTTGAAACTTTAATTGACTTTTGGACTTTTGAACTTTCTTCTTAACTATTAACTTTAGGATCCCGGTATCCTCACCCCCCCCCTAGTAACTCCACCACCCCCTCCCGTTCACAGCTAGTGAAAGGCTTAGTCGCTGCTGACACAAGTCGTGACAGTGCTAGCTTGAACCGCGCTCTCAGCACTCACTGAGAATTTTCTTTGATTGTTTCCCTAACAAAACATCATATAGGTACAATAATTGAAGGATCCTTCAAGTGTTGCGCGAAACAAACAAACAATATGAATCGAGATCGCTCCGACCGATCGAATTTGAATCGATCGGAGCGATTGGAAAACAATTCTGAGAAACAATCAATCAGACCGATTGAATTGATCGTGTCGAGTGCCTTATATGTTTCCCTTTTTTTGGGTTAGTGTGGTTAAGCATTTGAAAGACCAGATAAAAAAACACGTGATGTCAGGAGAACCGATTGAATTGATCACATTGTGTTCTTGTGCTCAATCCACTCGGTTCTCAACCCTTTTGAGCAAGTGTGATTGCTCGGGTAAATTCCGTAGCTTATTGTGTAGCTGGACAAAGTTTGATATCTTTGATGACTCGATTACAAGATTCATTACCAAAGACAAAGGAGTGTGGTGTCAAAATGAATGACGAGAGCCAACAAGGCGATGATCTTGTAGAGCTACAGAGACAGACAAGGAGAGAGAGAAGGACAATTCAGATCCATGTATGTATTTGGTGGATCTTATAGTGTTTGTCCTAGGATGTGTTGAGCATTGTACGACTAGACCACTCCATGCTCGACTGTGGCCGGATCTGCTGACTCTACTGGGATAGGACAAGTTCTTTTGTTGTGACCTGTCTTGTGGCATTGGCTACATCGAGGACCGTTTTGTTCAGCTTCCTGATGCTCATGACAACAAAGATCGCGCTTGGTCTTGTTCGAAGATCCTGTAGGCCGACCACGAGATCAAATCGGAGCTGGATCACCAATGGTGGGAGTTGGACTGACAAGAATCCGGCTTAACTGACTCCACAACACGCTCTGTTGATGGGCGGGGAGAGTGTTATGTTGTGCTCGTACGAGGTTGAGTAGCGAGTCAAAGTTAGGTGGTTGGTTGTGTATAACTGGGTCAACTAAAGGCGGTTCTAGATGCCAATGAGGGTTGAAGTGGTTCACAGCCAATTTCCTCGAAGATAACATGAGATGCTTCAGGAAGTGGGCACAGGGCAATCCTTTTGATCCAGAAAGTACGTAGGTGCAGTTGTTGGTGTCATCTAAAGAAAGGGCTTTTTGATACTGCTTGTAGGTCTATTTGTGATTTGGGTTTAGAATGTTTCATAATGAATCAGGAAAGGAATTGTTGGGAGGAAACTAGACAAGAACTTACCTCTAGTAGTGCGTAGTGCGAGATTTTTCTGTTGACATCAGTCCAGATTTGAGGACGAAGTCGAGATAAAGTATGAGTTCGATCAAAGGCTATACGGTGTTCTATCCTATCTCTTTGCTGTTGACAAACAAATTCCAGCTTGGTGTATACAGTTGCAAGATCACCAGTTGATGTCCAGATCCAGCCTTTGATACCAGCATGACCACCTTCAATCCGAGAGGTGACGGTGTGACCAAAATGTTTTATATCCTTTGTCCAAGCAGTTACAAACTTTTCCTTGTGAATCACCCACGTACTCTTGATGTAATTGAAAGAAGTCTCGCCAATATCAGTTCGAAGAGCCTCAAACCGTGCTTCGAAGTCTTCGGGAGAGATCGAGTTGCAAATTTCCTGCCAGCTGCTTTGAAACGCTTTCCATTGCTCGTCTGTTAATTTCATCTTGATGTTAGCTTGAATATTTTTCTCGATATGCCATTTGCAGAGTAGATTCTTGGTGTGTGGTAGAGTTTCCTTCAGAGCATTCATCAAGGCGAGCTCTCTATCAGTCACAACAGCCTGCAGATTTGAAAGCTTGGACCCAAAGCACAGCTTCATCTGCTCCAAAACCCATTGATAGTCGGCTTCAGTTTCTTGTCGCATTAGACCAAAGCATAGAGAGATAGACTGATGTGTTGGTGAAACTCCCATCACGTGGAGGAGTGGCATTTGAAACCTAAGACAACCAAACCACAAAAATCAGTCAGTCTCAACTCTGATTAAACTTGATTGCTGTGAAAGATCTCACCGATTGGTTTTGTAAGTTGAATCCATCAGTAGCACATCAGATGTCCAGAAGTCCGAAGCCGACTTCACACTAGCTTTGGGGGCAACAAACAGACGTAGGAGTCGGTGATTAGAATCCAGTTCATAGGTATGGAACACATCATTTGCCTTGAGGTTGTCTATCAAAGCTTCAAGTGGAGTGCGTCCATTGAGATCCAAAAGTTTTTGTTTCTTGATCATGTTGTAGATGTCCTGGCTGGTTGACAAGTTAGTGGGATCGGATGCCTTCAAGGTGCGTAGAATGAGTCGTGGAGGAACACCTGCATTTGCAAGGTTAATAACAAAGTTGTGCTGTTCTGGTGCAAGTTTACGTGAAGCTGGTATCTCAGCAAGGTTTGTAGAAGGTTCATGATTGTTGTGCTGATCATTTTTAAATTCAATCTTCCACTGATGAGTGATTTCCACACGTCGAATTGTAGCAGACCAATTGCATCCCAGAAGTTGAGTTGAGGTGGATCGAACTGCACTGACGACTTGCTGAGGTGTTCCGCCATGAGAACAGGCAAAGACTCGTTTCTTTTGTCTCTTATGTTTATCAGAACAGGTGCGGGTGATTTTCAACCAGTAGCCTGATCCTTTGGCATAGTTCCGCAGTGCATCTTCAGCTTCTTGTAAGGATGGGTATATAACTTCGCCAAAATCCATTTTTGAGGTGTGGTGTGTTGTTAGATGATGACAAGAGTTTTTGAGTTGTGAGCTGTGGAGTTGGATGATATGGAGCTGGGAAAAAGTTGGATAGAGCTGAAGCTTTTTGGGTGAACTTCAAAAATTACGAAGATGGGAGCGTGGTTCAATCTGGCACTGTCACGACATGTGTCACCAGGCACTAAGCCTTTCACTAGCTGTGAATGGGAGGGGGGTGGTGGGGTTACTAGGGGGGGGTGGTGGGGATACCAGGATCCTTAACTTTATTCTTCTTTTTTCTTTTAAACTTTCAACTTGAATAACTTATACTTTTGAGCTTAATCTAATTTTGAATGAGTCTGTTGATTCAAAAACAAGACGTTGCAATATGTTAGAAGTGTGAAGGGATCTGATCAAGGGACTTCAAGGGTGTTCTAGTACTACAACAAGATTGCAACGTAAAGACTAGAAAATCTCTGACCAGTGATTGGAAGTACAACTGAGACTAGTACAAGCATAACTTAGTATAAGCATAAATGGGCTCATAACATGGTATAATTATCTTAGGTGGAGGTGTTTGTTAACATCAAATTGCTAATACATTGTTATGTGTAAGTTGGTCTGACCTTTTAGAATTTTTTTCCTTTGGGGATGGGTGGAGGCATGGAGCACAATATGCAGTGTATATCAACACTGATCAAGGATTTGAAGGATATAATTCTGGTGGCAGACCTGATGAAACAATTAGTTGTGGGAAGATGATAATGTGTTTGAATATTGTCATTAGTCACCTTTTATTATATATCAATTGGTGTTGTTTATAAATCAATCACTTCACTTTGATGTCTTTGGTTTTATTAGGTCTTTGCTGATGCTACTTTAATCTTTCCTTTAATTTTTCATTCTACTTGAGGAAAGGATCTTGAAAAAAATCAAGAACTAAAAAAGGATTCTAATGATACCAAAGCTCATGTGCAACAAAATACAACATAATTGGTTTTCATGAATTTGAGTGGAATAGGATACTTGAATGATGAGCCTTTGGATTTTCTTTTAAATTTCAAGCTCTCTGCTTTTTGGCAGTCTGGTTTTGAACTTGGTTTACCAATCAATGTTGGGGAGGTTTGAGCTTGGTTTGAGGAAAGGTTATATCAAACTATATCATCTTTCCTCTCAAGATACTGACTTCTTATGAGTGAAAGTGTTCAACAGTATCTCAGTATCACAGGGGATCATTTTGTCTTCATTTTGAGACTTTTGCAGTGTGACTTTTTTTGTGAGATGTGCATTCCAGCTGAGCACAATCTTGGTGATATAATCCCAAACTTACTGAAGGACATATTGAACCTTTGACACATGACCAGTTTTACTGAGCACTTCTTCAAGAAACAAGAAAGCCATCTAGGGGACTTTTGACCTCCATGTTTAAGATGGGTTGGCACCTTCACACCAAAGGGACGACATGTGAAAGTTTTCCATAGAAGCCGGTTGAGTGTGACAGAAGAGTAGTCTCCCCATGTCATGTAAGTGACATGGAGAAGAACCCGCGAGGAAGAAGTGGTAACCTGGGGCGGAAAATCCTCACCCACAGAACACCACTTCTTAGCTCTGGGCGAACACCTTCAAGATAAGATTCCTAGCCGTCGCAAGTTTTCATTTTCACTCTCACTTTCTTTTTGTCCCTCACACCATCCCTAGGCTAGGACCGGACTCTCCGGTGTTCTCAGGTCTATCGGGCTATGGGGAAACCTACCCGAGAAGAGAACCGTCCCGGGCCTTTTCCGAGACGGTCCCGGTTAGGACGTTCCCCAATAGACCCCCCCACCCTAGCATGTACCTAGTAGGCTGTAGGACTTGTTAGCATGACCTGAAATACTGAAGGAAAGAAATAAAGTGAAATGTATGTAAACAAAGACGGGTACTTTGACACGATATAGGAGTAGATGGAAAGATCCAAAACAGGGTACATAGTCAATGGTGAAATATGCTCATCTGCCTGCTACGCAATGCCTGTGTAATTCAAGCTTATGCATTCCACTGAGGAAATATTTGCGGTTGTCAGTGACCTGATTAATATTTTTTTTATCTTTGCTTGACTCTGACTTGAGCTTCAACATCATTCAATTGTCAGGCTTATTCCATTATGTATCAATATAAGGGCGGGCGAGCCCATCTAAGGTCTAGTGAATTGGAATTTACTTATACAAATGATGTAAGGTCGCATGCATAGATAGAGACCTATCACTCTCTCTCTATCGCAATGACCCAATGACGTTCTCTTATCGCATTCAAGAGTTGATACTCTCGATTGCAAACAGATCGGTGAATACGTGTACATACGCAGATATCTTTGATGCCAGAGTTTGTGAGGTATCTCCTGCATCTCATATCACAAGCTTCGAGTTTACGCTTGCTATAGTCAACGCAGGATATATATTGATTCAATTTTGTCTGTAAAAAAGCTGTGCAAATGGGACCACCGACAGGACCTGGCAAGACAACGTACTGACACATTTATATAAATTTCACAGCTATGTATGTAAATGTGTGATTTTTGCAGCAGAGACGATGGCTTTCCTCCGACTGTTCCATTGACAATTGCATTTACGGGACCTTACGGGACACTCGAACAGCGTACATAAGACTGACGCAATCGGAGCCACCGGAGAGCGAATAAAGATGGAAGGTCTAGTGAATTGGAATTCACTTATACAAATGATGTAAGGTCGCATGCATAGATAGAGACCTATCACACTCACTCTATCGCAATGACCCAATGACGTTCTCTTATCGCATTCAAGAGTTGATACTCTCGATTGCAAACAGATCGGTGAATACGTGTACAAACGCAGATATCTTTGATGCCAGAGTTCGTGAGGTATCTCCTGCATCTCATATCACAAGCTTCGAGTTTACGCTTGCTATAGTCAACGCAGGATATGTCAATTTTGCCTGTAAAAAAGCTGTGCAAATGGGACCACCGACAGGACCTGGCAAGACAACGTACTGACACATTTATATAAATTTCACAGGTATGTATGTAAATGTGTGATTTTTGTAGCAGAGACGATGGCTTTCCTCCGACTGTTCGGCCATTGACAATTGCATTTACGGGACCTTACGGGACACTCGAAACAGCGTACATAAGACTGACGCAATCGGAGCCACCGGAGAGCGAATAAAGATGGCGAATTCATCAGAGGGCATTCGACTCAATACGGCGCAATTGGTTTGCTCACAGAAGGAAGCTGAATCCGCAACCGCCCGAACGTGAAGCAAGCGCAGACCAAAGTATCAAGAACATCGTCATACGAGACTGCGACCAGCTTCTGCACAATATTGAAACTCGTCAATGTTCACATGTTGAAAGCACTATACGGCTCGGCAAAAGGTGATGCAAGGGCGCACAGCATTATTCTCTACAACTTGATGTCCGGGAAGAGTCGGACAGACAGCGACTCAGGCGGTCTTCAACGAATATAAAAGATCAACTGATTTGCTGATGATTTTGTTGCTGTCCAATCACTGTATTGAATCATTTGTCTAACTGCACACTTGTCTTGGTATGTCAACCTATGGTCTTCATAAATAAACCGGCTACATAAGCTATGCAGAGATATTTCTTGAACAACAAACTAAGCTCATTTGTTATTGTCTCTTTCTTTACTGATTTCTTCCGTTTAGATACTATCAGTTTTTGCCTGAACCCAACCCACACACTATCTTTCGCATTCTGTTGCTGCAGCATCCTGGTGAGTCTCAAAATATTCACCCCAATCTTCATCACAACTTCCCTTAACTCAAACTTGGTCACCCATTTTATAGGTATCTCATCATGAAACTCAGCATTGTCAAGGTTATCCTCATGGCATCCGTATCATACAGCCAAGTTTTTGGTGCAATGATTCATGTTTGCAAGAGTGATAGAGGAATTGTTCCAGCTGAAGGGTCTTTGACCAATCATGTCACCACAAAAGGAGTTATACCACCTGAGGTTGAAGGCCCTGAATGGACTTGTTCCAAGTGTCAGGAATCAAGCTTTAACTGTGTTTGTCCGCCACCCTCGCCCCCCCATCAAAAATAGATGTGTAGCCTTGATCCAACAATAAAAGACCCCATATCATCTGTTTGTATCTGTAATGCACTGCCAGATGCAACTCAGATCAATGAGATCTACAATCTATTTCTTTGTACCTTGGTTTCACAAGACTGCTTTACTATATAAGAATGACTGATAGCTCTCACTCATGTTTTCCTTTCTTGATTCATTCTTATATGTTTCTCTTGTACCATGAGGTACTCTACTTTTATGGTATACAAATATTGTTCTGGAAATTTCCAGAAGATTTTTCCCAGAACATCAGAAAGAAAAATTTTAATGGTATCTGGCATTCTGGTGTTCTGGAAGTTTTGACACCCCAGCAGTCCAGAATACCCAAAGCCTGAGTAGTTGACTGCAACACAAAGTGGAACCTTGTTCACAGAAATATAGTTTTCCAGAACACCAGAAGGGTTCTGGCGTTCTGGGAAAAACCTTCTGGATATCTCCAGAACAATATTTGTATACCATATTTGTCATTTGCACTTGTGTTTGTCATAGCCTTCACTGAGAACTACTTGTGCTCTCTCACAGCTCGTACTTCTATAAATCATACCATCTGGGCTTCACAGCATTGAGTGAAGCATGACTTGCAAGGTTCTTTGTATTGACTGCTCACTCAATTCAATTCACATCATGCTTCCCACTCTCCATGTCCTGCTGTGAAGCTCAAAACTAGGTGCCTGCCACTTCACATCCGCTTACTGTGAAGCCCAGATGGTATGATTTATAGAAGTACAAGCTTTGAGAGAGTACAAGTAGTTCTCAGTAAAGGCTATGGTAAACACAAGTGTGTAAGGAACGGACTGGCGAGAGAGGGATGCAAGGCTTGGCTATAGGTCCTCTGATATTGGTATTTGGATTGTAGCCCAAGGATGCACAGGCCATCCTCAAGCCAGCATCCAAGAGCGCACAACATTGAGTACAAGCAGTAGTTGAGTAGTCTTATACGTGGCTCAAAACAAAGTGCAAATGACAAAGTAGAGTACCTCATGGTACAAGAGAAACATATAAGAATGAATGAAGAAATGAAAACATGAGTGAGATCTATCAGTCATTCTTATATAGCAAATCAGTCTTGCAAACCCAAGGTACAAATAAATAGATTGTAGATCTCATTGATCTGAGGTGCATCTGGCAGTGTGTTACAGATACAAACTGATGATATGGGGTCTTAGGGAGTGTCAGAGCATGGCTCTAAGTTACTGGCAACTAGACTTTTAAGAGTGACAAAACTGTGTTAAGAATTTGATAAAGAAAACCTCATAACAACTTAGGAACATATCTGATATTTCTACATATTTGTGTTTCTAACATCTGACAACTTTATCCTTCTGATGTGTAGTTATTTGTAATGTTTGAAATATCTTGATTTGATTTTATAATCCTTTTTATCTAACAACCTCTTTTCTTCATCTTACAATATTCAAAATCTTTTACATAACATATTTGTATATTTTCTTAAATATGTATTCTGTATTATGAAATCATTAAAGGACCCAGGAAAGCTCCAGGGAAAGGATCCGACCTAAAACCACTCCAATTGACCTTTTCAATACCCCGTGACGCGGTATAAACACAAAAATTGAGCTTAAACAATTCTGGTTACGTCGGTAGGTTTAAAGAGCAAAAATCGCTAAAAATCTCCCGGGAGACCAATCCATTTGTTTTTGGTTGGTACGTATGTCCAAAAGACAGTGTTTTTGGGCTTTTTTTTGGCTCAGGAGAAATCCATACCTGTCACGTTGGTAGGTCTGAATTCCAAAAATCTGATTTTTGCTTGAAAAACCCCCAAAATTACCTTTTTTGTCGGTACGTTGGGCCTTTTTTTTACCCTCAATCCATTCATTTTACGTCGGATAGTTCACCTGGAGCTTTCCGGGGTCCTATCATTACACTTTCCTCCGACCGTTCCATTGACAATTTCATTTGTGGGACACTTGAAACAGCGTACAAAAGACTGACACATTTGGAGCCACCGGAAAGCAAATAAAGATGGCAAATTCATCAAAGGGCATTTGACTCAATACAGCACAATTGGTTTCCTTTCTCTTCTTAGAGCATCTCCAACGCAGAACTGTTCTGTAAACCAAATACAGACCCAAAAAAAGATTGCTGGAAAAATTTTGACAGCTGTATTTCATTTTCAGCTTCGTTGCATCCAACGCGGTCCATTAGTCTTAGTGTTTGGCACTCACGGATCATGTGTTTGTGTAGTTGTTATATCTCCTTTTTAACTATCTAGTTTTGCAGTACACACGTAAAGTTACACTAAGTACAATCAGTCTCTTTGTGTACTTCATTCTTCCTATGGAGTTAGGAATTACGTGGTTTGGGGGGGGCCTGGGGCCGTAGACTGCCTGTACAGGGTGGCTCTCTGCTACCACTACTGGGGACGTGACGTCCGGAGCCTGCGGAGAGCCACTCTGTCAGGGCACGAGTACTTGCATATGTTCCCCCATTCAGTATTGGAGTGATTGTCAGATTGTCAATTCAGTCCGTCAAACCAATTCTCTCACTTGATACCTCACACACAACATACTCCTAAGCTGATCACCCTATGGTGTGTTCATTTCACTCGTCATCCTCCATCTTAAAGATTCTTGCTGCCAACTGAGGAGGTTCCTCCAACAACTTATCTTGTCCATCAACCCAGCTATTGTCCTCCATCATCTTCCATACGTACTTGGCGTCGTTGACTTGGTGAGGTGAGTACTTCCAAAGGTAAAGTTGGTATGCCTTTGACTTCCACCTCCCCATTTTCACAATCTCCTCCAAAGGTCTACCGTCATTCCATCTCAGAGTTGCTCCACCAACACAAAAAGAATGGCCCGTTAACTGATTGTCAGCGTTCAAAGTGTTCTAGACCTTCCGGTAGATGCGCATCACTTCTGACTTTGAAAGCGTTGAGCAGGTGCCTTTGTCATTTTGGTAAGAGAAAAAGAGGTCTTTTGGAGTCGTTCCTTTGTTATTCTCCACCAGGAGACATAAGATCCTGACTGGATCGAGCAATGAGGGTCTTTGGTGGAGGTTTAACCATTGTATCACACCTGGTTTAGCCGTTTTGGTGTTACAGAGGGTGATTTTGATGAAATCGTATTTTGCAGCAAAAAGTATGTCCTTCACAAATATCGGGTGTGTCTTCCATTTGTTGGACACCAACTCCCCAAGCCGAGCCATACCCCAAGAGGCTGTCACCACAATTGCCAAGGCAAGTTGATTCTTTCTACATCCATCCAACAAAGCCTTCACTAACTCTGCCATATGTCCCAATTTGACAGGGCGCTTCTCAATCTTAGGTGTTTGCTTCTTTGCCGCATCGGCAACTGCAACCGCTTTCAACAATTTCTTTACCGTGGGATTGTTCTCTTCCGGAAAGGGTCGGTTATGAAACAAGTGCCACAAGCGAATCCCCGTGATGTACTTTGCTAGCGTCTTGGCTGACACTTTGTTGCTTTTGGTGGGTGGGTCTTTAGGTGTCTCAATTGGGAACAATGGATTATTAGGTTCACCTGTCCAAACGATGAATTTGTGCAGGGTTTGGGAGTTCAAAGGCAGGATTCCATCTCGAGATAGGTTGGAAGCGTTGGCAAATTGCGCCAATTTTGACACTGCCAAGGAGTAATTCTCTAGTGTTGCTTGACTCCAACTCCCGCTCAGCAGTGCTTGTTGGACGGTGTTTGATTTCCAATTTGCAAGCCTATTTGTATTACAACACCAGATATTCCGACGAGAGGAGGAAAGGCCCTTGGTCAGTGTCAGATCAAATGTAAAGCTTTGGTATGACTGTCCTGCACAACTAAATATTCTGCTCTTCCGTTGTGGAAATAAAAATCACTCGAGTCTTTTTTGGGACCTTTATATATAGGTTTTTTTACTTTCTTTTTTTATCTGGGGTCACTCTCATTCTCAAGCTCAGCTCAAAGCAGTCAAAATTTCGCTTTTGGGGGCTTTTTTCATTGCAACAATCCCAGCAACCAAGGGACAAGGCAAAGGAGAAACAATACTAGGCTGGGCAAAACTAAACAACAACTAGGCAAGAGATCCCATTTCAATTTTGTTTTTGAAGGGCTTATAACCAAAAGAGAATCTAGACTGAACCAAAAGAAGGGTAGTCAGAAGGGGCAGTAGCTACAGAGGAAAGAAAAAAGAAAAAAAAAGGAAAAGTCTTACCCAACTCGGTCAGAATCAAAAATCGATTTTGATTTTTGAATCCAAGGGTGGAAGATGGTAGTGAGGGCTGTGGGTGTAGTAGGGTTAGAAAGAAGTTACAATCTAAATAAGATAAACAAGGAAAGGACTAACCTGAATCGGGCGAAATCGATAAATCGATTTTGATTTTGAAGTCAGGGTGATGAAGAAGGTGAAGAGAGTGGGGGATGGTGACGAGTGGGCTGGACTGAGTGCGAAAAGCCTCGATCGGTTTCGGAAACAATTGTTTCCGATCGGAACCGCCGGAATCGAATAAAGCATCTTCTATCGAACAAACAAAGGAAGAATCATTCAATCAGTAATTAGAATAGGTGAGAAGATGATCATGAGAAAGGCAAACCATACTTACATAGGTTTGATTAGGTCTGGAGTTGTTGGAACTATAAGGAGCTGGATCAATTGTGTGCGAGGGGTTTTTGTATTGAATCATCTCGGATCGAGTTATTGTATCAAGAGTGTGTTTTTTTTGTAGAGTTCTTTTCTTTTTTTTGACCGTTATCGAGTTGGATTCCTAGTTAGAAAGGAGAAACCAATAAAAAAAAAGAAGATAGAAGTTTTTTTATTGTTTAGTTCATCGCCTCCGTAGTGTAGCGCGATTAAAGGAAAGGTCTTTAGGAAAAAAAGACTTACCCTTTTATTTTGACTGTAAGGGTGTTAAAGACCCTTATCGGTGATTTTTTTTGAGAACCCTTATAGTGGGAATTCCAAAAGTTGGATTTTTATTTTATTTTTTTTTATTTTACTTAGCTAACTTAGGGGTTTTGTCCTAAGTTCCTAGGGGGTTTTTCTGCAGCTACAACTGTGAATTGCAGGGTTTTAGAGGGGATTAGGTGTGTAGGGTACCATTAGATTCAGTAGAAGTTGGAGAATAAGGTTTTGGGGGAATTTTCAAGGTTTCTATTATTTTTTTTACTTGCTGCGGGAAAGTTTTTTGGAGAACTGCATTGGGGAAAGTAGTAAAAAACAGCTTGTTTACATCTGTTTTTGAACCGTAGGACCTTTCCAGGGATCCTTAAAGCTGAACTAAAGCTTGTAGATTGGATAATCAAGGTTGGAAAGTTTATTCTTGGTGGTAGAAAGGTTGGCGAGGAGTGTCTCAGTGTATTTTTGAGGGCAGCTTAGCGGCGTTTTGGTTACGGCTCTTGGCGGTCTATCCGACTTGGGTTGTTTCTTCCCCTCAAGGCTCTGCCTACGCTCCACAGCGTAGGAGTTCTACACCGTTTTTTTTACTTACATAGTTTGCTCACTCAAGAACTGCAAGACCTTCTTCTTGTTTTCCATTTCACCTGATTTACCTCTTTAAGATGGCGGTTAGATCACTTGGCAACTGAATCACGACTTTGAACGAAAGGTCCCAGTTGTCTCGTGATAGGTTGTCTTCTTGGTTTTCTCCGGAGATCACTCGTTTGATCTCCAGATCGCACTGGAAAAACGTAAGTGCCTTCCGTATGTGTTTCCACTTGCCGTTTACTGACTTATCTCTTGACTTCCTATTCTGTATCACAGCTTTGGTAGTTGTGTTATCTGTGAGCACTCAAAATCATTTTCCTGCAGTCGGGAATAAGTCAGCCACTACCCGTAACCCGAGCCTAATTGCCACGGTTTTGAGCCATGCAATCTTTTGTTTTGGGCTACCCGGGGGGAGGTTTTTTGTTTCCCAGCCTTCTAGCAACTTGAACTGGGCCCACCGGTCCCCGACTAGTATTCCAATCACAAAACTCGGACTTGCATCCCCGACCCAACCGATATCGACCGGCTCAGGCTCTGGGATTAGCCAAAGAGGCTCAAATTCAACTAGTGTCTCTAACCACTCCTTGAGGTCCTCTTTTGTTTCCTCTGCCACATTTCGGAGGGCTTTTGTGTTGTACCAAGTAGCAATCCACCAGTATAAATCCCACATGCAGCATTTCATATGAGGTAAAATGTACGTTAAGTGACCCAGCTGACCCACCAACTTGTCCATATCCTTTTTAGACCATCTCTTTTCCAAAGTGAGTCAGTCTTGGACTTGTTGAGTTCTCTCTTTGAGTTTGTCATCAGGTAAGTGTACTGTTCTATACTTCCCGTTCCAAATAAAACCTAAGTATTTCTGCTCTTCCTTCCAATCACTAAACTTTTCCTCATTCAATAATATTCCCATGTTGGCGCTGACTTGTAATATATCCTTCATGTCTAACTTATCATTTGATTCTTTAACAAAAATATCATTGTCAACCCAGCAAAAGATCCGCTTAACCTTAAACAATGAGCTAATGATATCTCTTCAAGTATCCGCGATCCATCCAAAGGTACCACAGCCAGCTACTCCTCCAAATGCTATGTGTGTGTCTATCCATATCTGATTATCAAAATCTTTTATCATCAAATAACGCCACTGAGATTTGCGGGTAGGTCCTTGCCGGTATGCTTTTTTCCAATCAACAATGGCTAATAAGAGTGATTTGCCTGTCATAGATCTGAAATACCTTGCCACCGCCACGAAATCATCCCATGAAGTCTTGAATTCCTTTTTTTCCACAAATGGATCGACAGACGGTATATTGACATCTTCATACAGGTAGGATAGACCTTCCAATATCTCTTCTGCGTTATCTGAGAGCGGGTTTTGATCTTCATTCGTCCATGTATCATCTCTTGGTCCTGGCCAGCTGGCCAGTCGCTATGTGCGGCTTGTTTACGTTTCTTCTCTAGTGCGGCTTTGTTTTTTGGGAACAAAAGGTCATTGATCATTCGTAAAGATCTGTTGTTATTTGTAACGCTTCCCATCAGATTAGACCGGAAGAAGCTGATTTTATTAAATACTTTGTCGTGTGAAAAGGGGCCAAAGACCCAACCAGCTGCTTTTTCCTTTTGTAAGTTCGCCATGATCTGACTCTTAGCCGCCAAAGCTGAAGAATGGTTATCAGGGGTGAACCACTTCAGCTCGCCCAGGTTGTGTTTTGGGATGCCCTGATCAAACCCAATCTGTAGGGACTCAATTACGTGGGACCACTTCTCTGTGAGGTCACATTCGCCTAGGAGGGTCTCCCATTCTCTGATTCTCATCTCACATTGTGCTTGTGTTGGCCATCTATCATTGGTAGGGTCATTTTCTTCTCTCGGCTGGCTTAGGTCTTGTGGATGAGTCATCTGCCTCTCAGCACTAGGCACATCAATAATCTGTGGTGCCTCTGAGGAGCAACTAGCAAAAGGAGGTGATGAGGAACTACTAGCGAAAAAAGGTGAACAAGATATCATTAATTAGTATCCTAGGTCTGCACAACATGATAGTCTTCTAATCAGGATTTAACCAAAAAGGACAAGAAGTAAGAACAAAAGATATGAAGCAAGAATGAAAAACAGGACATCAATCAATCACACAATATCTGTGGGGACATCTCAAGGGATACATATCATGAAGTCATTGGATCACATCTCATGTCAGGATAGAAAGAATTTGGCCTTTTTTTGGTATACTCACTTATTCCCATTTGCAGGACCTTTTCCTTTTTCACCACCTCCAGAACTATTTTCCAATAGCAACTGTTTTGGTTGTGGTTGGAAACTACCCGGGCCAATTGCCGGTCTGAAAGCTTGGAATTGGTTGTTCTGGTTGAACAGGGTGTATCCGTTACCCGGATTATTCTGATGGTACAGACTTGGTTGATACCAATTGAATTGGGGTCTGAGGTATGGTCTTCTTGGTCCATTAAAATGACTGCCTCTCCCATTTCCTCTACCACCTACTCCACTACCTTTTCCTCCCCTGAAACCACCTCGCCCTTGTGAAGGACCAGCTTGGAATGAGTTCTTGTTTTGTGAGAATGACTGTAATGGATTGAAGGCTGACATCAATCTACCTCCTGTCCCTTCAAGTTTGAGTTTGTTAGGGATATTAAAGTTATCCCAGGAAGCGTGTTCAGGGTAGATGTGCCCATCAATGGGACTCATATTCTGGCGCGTGAATCCGATCGCGTACGGGTTGTCATTGAATAATTCATCCTTTGCCATCTCCAAATCACGTAAGGCTTGCGTAACTAGAATTTGATTCCCAGTTCCCACGTCTGAAATCCTTCCGTCTGGCAATCGATGTTCCCACACATTTTGTCTCTGTGCGATATTGTATCTGAAAGCCGGGAGCCAGCCACCTTGCCTTTCCAATTGAATCTCTAACACTACGGCTTTGTGTGCGATGAGGCGTGGGGCGATGGGGTGATCTTTTTGACTAGGTAAAGTGTCGTACATCCCTTGGTGATATTTAACCATGAGGTCAAACCTCTTTGACCATCCTGCGCTTGTAAGTCTCCATTTGCTCGGAATTGGAAGACCCACATAAGGGATAGTGTCCAAATGACAGCTTGTCGTCTTAGTTTGTTTCGTTGTCATGAAGTTCATTTCTAAGAGTAACCACTTGACATTGAATATCTAAACCGGTACATGGCGACTCTTACTTATCATTAACTTATCAAAGTATTCTGATAACTTTGGCATAGTATGAACAAGACTTGACCCCATTGCTGTCTCAGTGCTAGCTTCTTCTTTCTTCGTCTTAGCTTTTTTCACTGCCGGAGTTTGGTCGTCTCCGGAGTCTTGACCATCTCTCTCATCCTTGCCTACATAAGTGGGTTATGCGGGTTATCACTCTGTTTTTAATTATGTGTACCAGAGGTCTATAACTTACTATCACTCTCCTAGTCATATAGACAAGGGTCTCTCTCTTCCAGCCCTTTCTTCTCACACCAGCTTGCATAGACATTTTCCAAAGTTTCTTGTTTTTTATCTTGGTTCTTCTGGAACACTGATTGGATGCCTCTTATCCATTTCCCATGAGCTAGGGCAATGTCTGCTCCATGTTCTACATCATCAAAATCTGGTTCTATTCAATCCATAAGGAAAAAGACAGCAATTCATAAGTACCTAGTTACACAAACAATGTTTCAACTCTGGGGCGGGTGTTTCTTGAATTGTCAACTCGGTATGTCTCGGAATTTAACCGTATTCTAACTTCTTGGAATTAAACCGCACTCAAGCTTCTTATGGATTCCATTGAGCTATAGACGCTGTATGCCAATCATGTGGGGAGGCAGGTATGGCTCCTAGTACCAACATAGCGGACTAAAACCCCTATATAAAGTTGTACCAGTACAGTTACGTGAGCACATAACAACATACACTCCAACACACCCCCTTGCTGCGTACTGTAAGGGCTAATCACTTTAACAGATAGACTTATGACAAGTAAGTATTTATGACATCAGCTTTACATCATATTCATATGTTCCTAAGGAAAGCGCATAAGGCAAACATCTGGGCTCATAACCTGAGTCTTGTAAAATGATAAAAGAAGGAGATTCAGAACTCGATGATGGCACAGAAGAAAATGGAAAAATATCTTTGTTAAAAATGACGGAACGTGTTATAATGATCTTTTTCTACCCAAGATCCCATACTCGATAAGCTTTGGCTCCTGCTTCATAGCCAACTAACACACCCTCACGCCCTTTCAATCCCAACTTTCCTGAGATCCGCGGAGCCAAATACACAGCAGAGCATCCAAGTGTCCTCAAAAAAGAGGGATCTGGACCGTGCAAACCCGAATCAGGGATAAATGAGTTCCAAACTGATAACGGTGAGCAGAAATCAAGAGATGAATGTGGTGATTGGTTTAGGGTAAAAGCGGTGGCCAAAGCAACTTCTGCCCAAAGAGTTGTAGGTAGAGACGCATGGTGTAAATTTGACTGGACACGTTGAATAAGACTCCTGTTGTACCTTTCTGATATTGAGTTTTGTTCCGGAGTTTCTGCTGGTCCTTGCTCCACGTTTATGCCATTTTGACTAAGGTACGACAAAAATTTTGATGATTGATATTCTCCACCTCTATCCGAATGAAAAAACTTGATTTTTGAACCAAACAACCATTCTACACGCGTCTTGAATCTCACAAAACAATCAAATACATCAGACTTATGTTTGATAGGAAAAATAGAAGCATAACGTGAACAATCATCTATAAAAGAAACTAAGTATTTAGCACCACCTGGAGATGAGGGAAAAGGACCAATAACACCGGAGTGAATTCTAACCAAAACATGAGAGGTGACAGGAAAATGAGAAGTGAAAGGAAGACAAGGGATCTTTGATTTCTGACAAGTGATACAAGGTGAACGCTGAGTAGAAAATGAACCAGAAGACAATTTGATTGATCCGTCTGAAACCAAACACTTTATTGCATCATAGTGGAGGTGACCTAGACAATGATGCCAACGCTCAGCTGATGCGGAAAAAACAGAAACTGATGATAAAAGGCAAACCTTGCACTGCCATAATCTCTTGTTGTCGGTCTTCTCACACACAAAATAACTGTTCCCAGCCATACCCACGCCAGTAATACTGGTAGCAGAACCCAAAAACGAAGCACCATTTGCACAAAGTTGACTAAGAGATAATAAATTAACTACCATAGTCGGAACATATAGAACATCAGGGATCAAGATATCCATTGGAGAATGATCTTCTTCAGAGAAACCAGGAACAATAACAGAACCTATATGATGAGCTAACTGAGGATCACCAGAAATACCCGTAATCTTGACTGGTGGAATCAACTTAAGATGAAGAAACATTTCTTTATTATGACAAATGTTCTTGGTAGCTGCAGTATCTAAAATATATAAACATACAACCAACTCGCATGAGGTCGGTCCAACCGTCTTCTGTCCCAGTTAAGACCGAATTGAGTTGCTTTTGTTCCTTTACGGCTTTGGTTCGTCTGTTCAAATTTGGTTTGTGGTGGTGCTTTCGACTTTTCACCTACTTTGGATTTGCTTTTCAAGTGCAGGTAGTGATTATTTTGTGATTCTATTGCTGTGTTATTGTAATCAGCAAGATTCCTTTTGGCTTTGTTGGTTATTGACTGTGCTTCTCGAAACAAAACAACATATGTATCTTTCCTTGTTGTGTTGTGGACATTCTGCTTTCAGTCCTTTTTGTTTTTGTTTCTTTACTCAATTGTGTGGGTGCTTTATCTGAGAGTCTCTTTTGTCAAGTTTTTTGGGAGTAAACTTCCTTTGCTTTATTGGGATTCCTTCCTTTATTCGAGATACCTCCAATCTTTGATATGTAGTCACCTTTTGAGCACCTGCCTGCACAAGCCGTGTTTTCCACTCCCCTGACTCCTGCTTTCCATTCCTATAAAAAGGTGATGTATCCCACCCAATTTGATCCCCTTGATCATGCCCATCCAAATGTTGTATATATAACACCTTCTAAATTAACCATCTACCTCACTTAACACCTAACTATACCAAATCATCTTGTAATACGTTTCTGCGGGAACTCTTTTGACAACTGCAATCGGTGCTCCGTCTCCTGTCTTGCGTCTTTGTTTCCTTGGTCTACTTTGACCTCTCACTGGTGAAGACTCTGTATAACTATTCATGTTCCCTATCCTCTCAGTGTACCTTCATCTTCTTATCAGCACCTCACATGTCATTGGGGTTGGCAATACCCTCAAAAGCCTGGTTCACCTACATTAGTTTTGTATTTGGCCTTTTTAGTATCAGCTTTTATGATAATTTGTGACCGCTAGCCACCTCTCAGGGTGTTGTAATCAGGCAATTTTATTGATCCTGGACATCTAGCCTTGGGATTTGCCCACTACAACTTGTCCGCTTTAGTTGTCACACTTATTTGTACATTTAAGAGTTCACGCTTTGGCATGATAATCTTAGCACAGTTTTCAAACTAAACATTCCTCACACAACCATTTATATGTCTCCTCTCATATTACAGTATCAATATCTGATTTTGTGTGATTACAATCTATGTATATACCTACTGTATAAGAAACATGGCAGTGGTCGCTCCGCATCAATTTTGACTAAGGCTAAGGACAAAAATTTGAATGGCCCATGGTAAATTGATGTCTATGAGATTGTCAGGACTGCTACATACCTTTTTCATGTAATCCTCTCTGCCTCAACTTGAGGAAGTGATGTGGAAAAATCATAATTTTACTCAATATGCCATTAAATTTGAGTGTTAAAGGAGAAACTAAGTACATTTAGCCAACTTGATTGGTCACCTAATAAAGCTGTTGCGGGCATGCCCGCATCTTCACTAGTCAGCTAAAATGACACCATGATGTCAGAATATAACTCAATTCATCAAACACGTCAAACCACATAAATACATTATTAAAATACATTATATCAAAATTCAATTGACTCGAACACAAGACATCAAAACCTAATGTCACATACATGATTTAAACCTAACTTTGATTATCACTAATGTATCACATTCAAATAGAATTCTCACCTCTCCACGATCGCCCCTTTTTCCTTATCAGTTCACTGAGGAAAAAGAGGTGTGTAAGTGGCTCACTCATACAGACTATAAAACACTCATACTTATATATCAAACTTTCTTTCTTCTCTAATATGTTGTATAGACCTTTCCTGTTCTACCTATTTATATAGGTCTGTCATTTCTTCGTCTTTGGTGTTCAGAGCCGTTAGACTCACACCTGCTTGCTGGTGTTAAAAGGTTAGATACTTTAGTTATCCATATCAACACCGCAAGCGCTACGCAACGCAATGGATTTTGACCTATTTCCATTGCGTTGCGCAGTCGGCGCATTATTACACTACGCAACCACTCCGCAATGGGGTGTTTTTTTTGTAACTTGCCGTTGCGGAGCGGTTGGGCAAATATTGCGGAAAATGCGCAATATTGCCCTATTTCCGCAATATTTGCCCTAAATAACCGTCAAAAACCGACCGCAATTGTGGTGCGGGTTTCTGACCAAGGGGTTTTTTGAACCCGGATTGCGGAGCGCTGGCACCGCACTATATTGCGTTGCTATTGCGGCGCCCAAAAGCGCTACGCAACCGCACCACAACTGCAACATAGTGCGGTGCTCTTGTGGTATTGTCCATATGAAATATATCTTATCAGTTCACTGAGGGAAAAGAGGTGTACCTTTCCTGTTCTACCTATTTATATAGGTCTGTCATTTCTTCATCTTTGGTGTTCAGAGCCGTTAGACTCACACCTGTTTGCTGGTGTTAAAAGGTCTGTCATTTCTTTGTCTTTGGTGTTCAGAGCTGTTAGACTCACACCCGTTTGCTGGTGTTAAAAGTCACCATTGCAGGTGACTCGAGTTTATTTAGATTCTCTCACATGATCCATAGACTGATTTGAAGCAACATAAACTTGAACAGCAAAACCTTCATCAGGAAAATCATCCACAAGATCAAGGGCACTAAACTGATTAGAGGTAGTAACCTCATAAGTAGGGGCAGTGACAACCGGAAGTCCTTTCTTCCTAGTTTCGGAAGCAGCTTCAATTTCTAAGTAGCGCCTAGCCATTTCCGCCTCTGATAATTTGTTAGAATTTGCAACAATTGGAGCAGAGGTCTTAGCTTGAGAACGGCTGTTTTGATTATGACAATTTCGATTGGTGTGAGGAAGACCCCTATGAGCAGGAAGGTTACAAAGATCATTGGGACCGGACCCAATACGACGAGATGCTGGAGCGGAAGAAACCAATGATGATTTTGCAGTACAGTCACCTCTGTGAAAACCAATACCCAAAAAATTGGGTCCAAAGCTATCGGTTTTCACCGAGTATCTGTTTTCTCAGAGCAAAATTCACTGAAAATGAAGATTTATTTCCTCAAACAAGTATTGGTTTTGCATGATTATCGGTTTTGACATGTATTGGTTCTCGCAGAGGCAACTGTAAATGCCGCAACGGTAGACAATGGTTGACCAGAAGATGATTGCTTAGCAGCTTCGAGAGTAAGGCAATCCATGACAGATTGGACAGTGAGCTTCAAAAGGTTGGCAAAGAACGGAGTGGTAATGAATTCGAAATCCTTCCCAAGACCATTTAACAAGAAAATTGCTAATAATTTGGAAGAAATGGAAATCTCCTTATCTTCAGCCGTGTATTGAGCGAGTTGATTGTGGAGCGTACGAATACAAGTGATAAAATCAGGCAAAGAGTGACCAGATTCAAAACAAGCAGTAGCTATTTCACAAATCGTTGCCGCAGCCAGAACACCACCACTGCTGCCATGAGCTTTGGCCAACTTCTCGTAAGCGAGTTTATAAGGAGTATTGGGAAGTTCGATCAATGAGTCATTTGTAGCGTTCACAGAATTAACGATTATTTCCATGACACGACCCTGTTGACGACAATACAAAGCCAGACCTTCCGCATCCGTGGGAGGCAAATCTTTGGTGATAAATTTGAGCAAACCACGAGTCTGTAAAGCGAAGTGAAAACGCTTGTTCCAGTGAGGAAAATTACCCTTGGTAAGTTCAGGGATTTTGATGCGTTCTTTGGTAGTCAAAGCAGCCGGAGCTGAGAGGGATGAAACCATAGGAGCAGACATGGCAGGAGGAAGAAGTTGCGACGGAGAAAAAACGTCGGAAACAGTATCGTCGTCCGAAACAAGGACGGGAGGCAAAGATGAAGTGATTGTTGAAGTATCTGAAGAATCGGAAGCAGCTGGAGATGAGGCAGACTGATCACATTCAGAGGAGTCGGCGACAGAATCAGATGAAAACATAAGTTGAGGAAAAAGTAATCAAGGGAAGAAGCGAAGCTTGATAATAAGATCTATGAAAATCGATGACATATTTACAAAGCTAATGATTACCCTAGTGAAAGGCTCATAACCTGTGAGTAATGCACAATTTCATAAGCATGTCAATTGATATAGCTTATAGAAATAAAAGAGACAAAACAGATGATCTTTATTTCTTTGATACAAAGTGATAACAAAACACACATAAACGAGCATAACAGAGAGAAAGAAAAGAAATAAAAAAGAAATATGAAAGATCAGCGTACCTGTGAGTAATGCACAATTTCATAAGCATGTCAATTGATATAGCTTATAGAAATAAAAGAGACGAAACAGATGATGTTCGAATCTTGGTGCAAAACCTCACAGGTATATGCAGTCAAAACTAATAATAGAAGAGACAGTTAGAAAACAAATGACACACGTATTATGATGTAATGAGATAACCAAAAGAGTGAAATAACAAATATTGTAGCATGGCGACAGAAGAACACATAAACAAAATCAAATCGTGACTAGGAAAGATAAAAAATGAAATATAACTATAGCAACACAAATCAAATACAATCATAATAACCAATACCTTCTTCAGCGTTTCTGGTGTTCAATTTGCTCCTTGTTACCACTTGTTGTTTGGGCTTACTTAGTGGTTTCTTCGAAGTTGAACTTGTGCTGTCCGCGGCTTGCGTCCCTAAATTACTTTCCGAAGCTAATTTATTGAAATCTTTGGTATTCATGATTTAATTTTGGTTTGAGAGAAGATTGTAGAGCTTTGAGACTGCTGGGATTGATGATGAGTGCGTTGGGTGTATTATTGTTGAAAAGATCTAATTATAACACCGCGGGAATCAACTGGTTTGAAACCCGATTGAGAGGAATTTCGGTGTCTGGGTTCAAAATTTCCTCGAATTGTGAATCTTGTTCACAACTCGTTCGCATTATGTTTGCCGATTCCCCTCGGGCTGTACTCTGTACTCGGCTGGCCCCGTGTATGTACAGTCACATCATACAGTAACATCCCCTTTCACCATTCCTCACCTTCATCCTCATTCTTCAAGCTTTGATCAACCGAAAAAAAGCAGTTCAGCGGGAACATGATCAGCGGTGAGATATGTAGTCAAACGGTTGGAATCACAGGTTTTGCCAGTGCTGTGTAAGTGTATGTATTGTAGTCTACTCAAGGGAAATTGGCGAACGTAATGCTAACGAGTTGTGAACGAGTTTCATGATTCAAGGAAATTTCGAACCCGGACACCAAAATTCTGCTCAATCGGGTTTCAAACGAGTTAATTCCCGCGGTGTATTATGCGGGGTGAATCTTGTTAATGCGGTGATAGACAAAGTTTCTTCTATTCCTAAGAACGTCTGAGAATTCAATCGGGTTAATTGCTTCTTTCAGAGGATTTCTTTAATTGCCTTGTAAACTAATGCCAATAGTTCACTTTATTCAGTCCTTCGGAATAAAACAAAACAAAAAGTTAGAAAAGGTTTAAAGGCTTTTCTAAATCGTGGTATTGGGGATTGAGGTGAGTGCATAATCAGAGATTTTCACATGTCGGTGCGCACTCTCTAGATGTGTCCTCTCGAGGTGTCCAAGTCTCCGTCGGGCAGAGGATCCAAGGGACCGTTGATCCCCAATACTCATGGAACTCCACGGGTACCGTCGTGCCTTTGGGCACCCGTAGCATTAAAAGTTTTTGAGTTGCTTTGAGCTGCCCAAGTTGCCAAACCCTCACCCAATTGAGCCACCAAATAGCCATCAATTGGTTGGACAACAAGAGGATAGGACACATGTGGTGACTTTAACACCACATGTGCCAAATTTCTGTCCAATACTGGGCCAATACAGCTTGCTGTAAAAGTTCAGTTGGTACTTCATATTTGGAGTACCGACTGTGTGAAAGGTGTTTTGCTGGAAATTCAAACTCACACACATGGTGAGCTGTCAATTAATCAGACCGTGCTGGATGGTCGTTTTGTGACCAAGGTCAGTAAACGTAACATACAGCTTATGTGTGTGTCCAATTTGTTACGTTTACCAACCTGTGTTGGAGATGCTCTTACTCAGAGAACACCCTTGACAATCTCAAAAAATTTCATCCAAACCCAGCAAAACTAATAATACACCATCACCTTGATTTCGACCTTCTGTGATTTTGGATTTCACTACTCACAAGCAAGAGTGAAATAAGCATCTGTAATAAGCTTCATGAACTGAATGAAGGTGAGATCAAAAGTGATTGCTGAGGATTTCTGTGCATACTGAGGCACAAAGAACATTGATGATGATGTCAACTCAAGTGTGATCAGAAAACCCATGGCAAACAAACCCTGAAATTGAAGAAACTTCCAGACCCAGTCACTGCAACTCTCTTCAATCAGGTTTCAACCAAATTCATCCATGTCTTGTAAGGCATGTTACCAGTAAGTAAGGTGAACTAGAGTGACCTTGGTATTCACATGTAGGATGAACAATGTGTATTTCATTTTTGTTCTAGACTTCTTAGTGCTATCTTTAACTTACCACATATGCATAGAATACCATTCCTGCACATGGATGAGACCAGCATCCTACATGGTTGTGGTTTGGGGGTGGTCCTAAAGCTGAGGAAATTTTGGGAGGATGGGTCCTACCAACTTCCCTTTGCTTACCCTTAGGAGAAGGTTGGCTCCTGAGAAAATAAGGACTTCTTAACCGGGGTGGTGGGCGGGCTTTTGAAGCTATGAAATTCAGAACAGGGGACTTGAAGGATCTTCAGAGTGGTGACATGAGGAGAAAGGAAGAAGTCTGATTGACTCTCTCCACCACTCTGTACTCAGAAACCCTATGACATTCGAGTGCTAACTGTCATGGCTGGTTAGGACCCCGGAGAGCTCCTGTAGAGGTGCGTGATGTAAAAGATTTTATTTTCTTATGCTTGCTGTGAATTGCTGTGTATTTCACAGCATCCACACCACGTTAAAAACTCTTCACAATTGTGTAGGTATGAAATTCACAGTCAACAAAGTGCTTTGCTTCTGGCTAGGCATTATTGAGGGAGAAGCAAGGGATCTGGTGAAGTTTTTATGAATGTAAACCGTGGTGAAGTGTGTGTACTGTAGGAAAATTTTTTACATCATGCACCTCGATAAGAGCTCTCCGGGGTCCTGGCTGGTTCCTTCTACTGCCCTCACCTGTAGATTTCACCTCCTACGGAAATTGAGTCGTGTACCTCCTCAAGCTCTATGCACACAGGCAATTCCCGCAGTGTCACTGCTCAAGAACTCTGCCACCTTCACGTCTCAATTTTATCAATTTAATGATCTCACTGTTGAAGATGTTATCAATGAAATAAAGAACAAAGAATCAAATTTCACTCAAGGAAAAAAAAACTCTCAATAAAAATATCTTTTTAAAATTCCTCTTTCATATGTTCTTTTACTCTTCTTACAAAAAAATAAGAAAGAAAAAGTGCGAAGTGATACAACAAGAAGAAAAAAAAAATTGTTTTGAAAGAGATTAAATAGTAGGAAGAAAAAAAGTAAACGAACAAAAAGGTCGCTTTATATATATATAAACACAAATCCAAGAGAAGATTATTGAAGAAAAGAAAAAAAAAGGTTGGTAAAAACAGATGAAGAAAAAATCCTTTAATGTTTCTATATTGAGAAAACGAAAAAGGAAAAGAAGGTGAAAACGAAGAAAACGACAAGAAATCTATATATATGTATATGTATCAAACCAATAAACAAATAAATCACAAGAAAAATAGAAAAAAGGAAGATAAAATATATTCATAGATTTTTCAAATAAAAAAAAGGATTAAAGTCAACGAAAAAACACACAAGAAAATCAAGAAAACCAAGAAAATCAACGGTATTGAGGTGGAGGAGGGGATTGAGATCGATTCAAGTTCAAAGGATATGAATGATGAGTAGGAGTAAGATGATCTCTAGAAGCATCAAACAAAATATCATTCAATTCATCTGAAGCCGGTGTGACGGTGACCATCGGTGTCACTTTTCGGTTCGTTGACTTCTTTTTCTTTTCCCATATTTCATTTTCATCATCTGTAGTGTTTCCATTACTAGTGGTAGATAAACCTAATTCGATGGCTTCGATCTCATCGTCTGTATTACTTAAATGTAGATATTCATTCGATGAATTAGTAGATGAAGTAGATGATGAAAGTTCAGATGCTCTTCTAGCTAATCCTAATCTCCAAAGTACAAATCTTTGTGAAAACTCTTGTCTTCTGCTACGTGATCCCGATCGAATTTCAAGTGCATAATAAGTTGAACCTGGCCTGATGATCATAAATCCTCTTCTGGCTAATAATCTTGATAATGTCCACCATGATCCAACTAAGGCTGCACCCGCCAATAAACCAAGTAAACCAACTGCCACAATCGGATGAAAGATGGCATCTTTGATCATCAAGGTTAGATGAGCATCCTGTCCATGCCAAGATGAGGATCCTAAATGTCGGAATAAAGGTGTCACGACTTTTCCACTCAATCTTTGTTCAGCTCCACCTAGAATTCTTAAATCATGAGATCTAAGTTTAGATGAAAATCTTAAATGTTCAGATGATAAAAACATTGGACCAGTCGAAAACATGATATCCGCATAAGGAATCCCGAACCAAGATCGATCATATCGTTTTAAATTTCGAACCAGTTGAGCCAAGAATGGATGACCCGCTTCTGCCATCATAAACCCATTTGAAACACCAACTGGAAATGCATTGATGTTGACGATTGGAAACCTTCGTAGTGGTCCTAATGATCTTCTACATTCTAAATCGAGGTCTAGAAAGATACCACCATAGTGATGAAGAACAAAGTAACGAAGGGCATCGGCTCTTTGAATGTTGTGTCGGTATGATAAAAAGTCGTTCAAGAAGAATGGGTAATGGGTGGTCATGAATTGAAGTGCCGATGCATCATCCCAAAAGTGATGGGTATAGTTTGCTGATTCGGGATGAAGACTAAAAAAAAGTAACCGATAGAAGAGACGATGGTCAGTAAACGAAGGTCATGATGATTTGGTGAAGTAAGAGAAAGAAAGTTTGCAACGGTCATGTAACTCGATCTGAGTGATGCATACATGCAGATCAAGAATCTTTGAGAAGGTCTGGAAGGTTGATTTGTAAGAGAAATCTAAAAAACTTACGCTAAACAACTATTCCTAGAAGTTTCCCAAGCAACTGGCATAGTTTTACGATCCATACCCAATAAGATATGATGTAAGATAGGAGGAACTAAGTCGGTCGAATCAGGTTGATCATAATTGGAACCACCATATCGATCATGTGGTAATCTAGCTAAACTGCCATCTTTTAATCTTAATAATGATGAATTGGCTTCTAAAGGTAGAGTTTGATTTGAATGATTCTTGGGTGGCCATCTTACACTCCATTGTTCGATGGGATACAATTCAAAACTAGTATCAAGTCCATCACCAGCTAAAGTGAGTGAAAGTGAACTTGATGAAATCGCCCAAAGTGGGTAAACTGATAAGATTTGACCTAATAAGATTATGTGTCTCCAGAAAAACATCACAAAGATTGAAAGTAAAATGATTGGTATCCAAAACCGGCGTGAATTTGGTAATTTAATTGAACCCATTTTTATATTTTATATCTTTCTAATCTAATGGAAAAATCAGATGGATGATCAATGATTTTGATGAATTGATAGTAAGTGATTCGATTCGAGTTGATTTGATTCCGTTTAAGAAGTTTTGTGAGTTGAGTTGAAAGTTGAAGTTCAAGTGAGTGAAGTTAATTGTCGACTTAAGTCGAGGCAAGGTAGAGAGAAAACAAGAGTAAGTCAAGTGATCCAAAAGAAATGGAGAAGGATTCGAGAGTTTAATCGAGGAAAAGATTAAAGAATTAAAGTGGAAAAGGTTGATGAATGAAAGAAGATAAAATTAAAAAAGTGGAATAACAATTTTAATTATCAAGAAAAGACTTTGTTAAATAAATCCAAGATAATTAAACTTGACTTCACCAAATCACAGATGGATGAAAAGTAGAAAAAGATTAGAATTTGGACTGAAACGGTTTTTTAATCTTAACTGACAGTCAGTTGGGTTCTTTTAAGGAAAAAAAACAACAGAGCAGAGCAGAGGGAGAAGGGTTAAATGGTGAATCTACCAGTCTTAAAACAAACAATCAGATTGACAATTGTGGTAATCCGATCAAATCAAGAAATAGGCGAGTTCTTGATTGATGATTTCGAGGTTTGATAAAGGAGAAAAATGTCCAAAAGGGGATTATTTTAAAGGACAACTTCGTGAGACTCAGATCCGAGGTGACACGACACCAATACTCCGACCTAAAGTCACACTCATGAGAAGATAAAGATAGAAATGGTATACCGTGTGAACGGAAATTGAGAAGGCAAGAAATTGATACCACGTCTTATGCCAACCGAGACAGCATTCGAAAGTGTGGGTAATGGAAGGCTGAAGTAAAATGTGACCTATATAAATTTTAATTCTGTTCACACACTCATGCCATCCTCACATCCACTACCAATCACAAGATCACTATCACTACAATTCATCTACCATCTATCATCTTTCACAACCTACGTCACACCTCATGAGATTGATAGAGGATCTCCTTAGAAATGAAATCATAACGATCAAAAAAAACAAGTACAAAGACGCAATACTTACTTATGTGGAAAAGAAAATTAAATCAATCATTAAAGATTGAATAAATTTATGAAAGTCCTGCTTGATGTTCGGTCCACGAATCTTGCTATATAAACGAGACAGGTATAAAAACACTATTTTTTTGAATAAATCGAATGGTTTAACCGAAAAGAAATGATATATCGCAACTAAAGGGATGAAGGAATTCTTGAATTGAAATGATCACACATTGGATGAAAGAGACTTGAAGTGTATATGTGTCGACTTATATATATTACTGTAAAAGAAGGGTAAACTTCTACCTTGGCGTTTGTTCGTTTGTTTGTTCGTTCGTAGTTATTCATCAGTCGATCACTTTGGTAATCGAAGTCAAGCAAAAATTACAATAAGAATGGTAACGCATCAAGTTCATCATTCACCCGGTCCTTCTTCTTCTTGACAACAAGTCTCAACAAGTGGATCTGTCTGTATCTACAGTACTTAAGACATAAACTCAACGTTAGCTTACCTAAACTCAAACGCATCATTCGGGAATCGGATCACAAAAGTGAATTCTTATGCACTACGGTCCAAACTGTAAGAGGACCCTGGAATGCGCCTACTGAGGCGTCTGACGTAAAACCCGACATTACGCTGGTCGCAAATTTTTTTTTTGGCAAAACCCGACATTTTTGGTCAGATACCTCCAAGCGACGGGCCCGGAGAAAAGCCTTGATACCCGGGTAGAAGCCTCAAAACCCGGGTAAAAGCTCCGGTATCCGCAAAAAAGCTCCGGTCATTTGACAAAAACCACACTACTGTGGGTTCAAACCCCATAAATGTCACAAAAGGACCAATTTCCCGACATTTCTGGTCAGATACATATGCGCGGTAAACCTCCCAAAACCCAAAACCCGACATTTTTGGACAGATACATCTGAGCTCAAACAGGCCAAAACCTGACATTTTTGGTCAGACGCCTTAGTAGGAGCATTCCAGGGTCCTACTGTAAGAGCATCGCCAGCGGAGCGTGCAAAATCCCAAATACAGGCTGTTTTCACGTCTTGCGGGAAAATATCGGAGCCACCGGAGCGTGTAAACAGCCTGTATGGGTTACACGACATCCAAATCTTGACCGGGAGAGTGCAAATCTGGACGGCGTACAAAAAGGCAAATATCACCAAAATCTGAAATATTAGGGGTTGGGCAAAAAACGGACCAACCAGTTTTGCGCCCTTGAGAAATAAATCAAAAACGGCCGAAGATGGCTGAAATCAACTGGGTGCAGGTTTCACAGACCCATCGCTGTGCCAGGTTACCCAAAGAGACCCAAAGTCAGTCTTTGGGTCTGATTTTTCTCCTCCAGCCCCACCAATAGCTCAGCTTGAAGAACTCGGGCAAGTGTTTCCACCTTTCACAGATCTGTAAAAGGTGCAAAAAGGGCGTTTGCAAGGCTTGTGGCGCCGCAAATTCCTTTCCCTGTAGGAGCTTTTGAACGGTTATAGCGGTGGCATGATCACAAAACCAATCATACCGGTCAACATTTTTGGAAAGCAAAAAGATGGATAAAGATGTTTGTTGGTTTGGTGTGGCTTGGATATTAATTTCAAGCCATCTCTTAAGCGTTCCCAAAAATTTGAACTGCGATTGAACAGGGTTTGGAAACTGGTTGGTTGGTTTTTTGCCCAACCCCTATTGTCTGACCTACCCTGTCATTTTGTAGGAGACAAACAATCCTATGCTTGGATCAAAGGCATAGACTGTTTTATACTGTCAGTTTCTACATGGCCACGGTTTTGCCTACCTCCGCGCAAATTTGGTATACATGCTGATCAAACCTGTCAGAAGGACATCGTACAGAGTAGTTTTTTACACGCCAGCGGTGGAAAAGCTCTAAGGGCCCATATATCCTTAAAAGGACCATAGTCTTGAGCATAGGTGATTGGTTCTCAGTTATCTTCAAGTCAAGAATTGAATATATGATTATTATTAAATGTTGGACATTGAGTTGACATGCTGTAGGCATGTCACTCACGCTCTAGATCAAATTTTGCGCTGACTGCGCTGATCCTTCCTAATCTCAAGTTTAGAACCCACTCTGAAAGTGGAAGACCTGCTAGCCATGGGAAAAATTACAAGCTCAGTGCGCCTAGTGTATAAGTCAAGGGTAGAATAAAAATCATCTTCAAAAATGTATAACTGACAAGATGGAAATTCTTGACACACAGCACATGGCCTGAACCCAAAGCAAGAAAATTACAAGTGTCTAACACAATACACCAGACATACTCTTGAGACACTGGCTAGTGGTCTGATATCTACAATTCCAAATTGACTCTGATCCCCGTCAAGATTCAAGGTATTTTTTCAAATTCTTTTAGAATTTTGAAACCTACCAGCAGGCAAAAAAAAGAAAAAAACTTCTAGCCTCAAAATATGTTCAAAAAATGTTGTCATCAGATCTGATAAATAGGTATGAAAGAAGTGAGAAAGAATGTAAGTTCAATAATGGTATACAATAGGACAAGATTGAGAGTAGAATCAGCTAATTATTTGCCTGATACAACATTTTCAGCCTCAAGACACACCAGTAGACACTGATTGACATGTGATCAAAAGAAAAGGAAAATGTGAGATCAAAGGGAGGGTATGCGATGAGCTTCTCCATACTGTTCAGGCTGGAAAAAGTATAATCAACAAAAAGAGAAAAAGATACAATCACTCCTACCCTGAAAACAATTGTGAAAAACCTTATCATGAAACTTGTACGTTTCACAAGACTTATGACCATTTTGTGCCACATCTTTAAAGATGGAAGATCACTATTTTTTCCAACTAGTCATATATGGCTGTCTCTCTTTCTCTCATATCTACCCCATTTCGTTAGTGGGTATGCAATGAAGCAAGAAGCACTTTTGAAAAACAAATGGTTGGATCTCTATTCAAACATCTCACTTGATGAAATGATCATGTAGAGCTGAAATGGTCATAAAGCACTCTGCATAATTTTGACTGTAAAACTCCAGCAAATTGGGTGGGGAATCTTTCCCAAACTTTATGAGGAAAGTAAAAAGAATAGAAGTATGATCAGTTCACCATTTAAAGATGTCACTTTGAGGAATGATCAAATAAAAATGAGAGGAACTGAACTGATCCACATCTGGAACTGTCCAAGTCCACTCCAGCTGGGTTCTGAGGAAATTGGAACATTAAGGGCAAGGGTTATCTTGAATGTATCCATAACAAACATCATTCATGTTTGGTCATGCTTGCCTGATTTTGCCCGCAAAATTCAAACAAAACCAGATGGGAGATTTTACTCAAGGTTTAAGGGAAAAGTGAGCAGAATACATAGAAGTATTATCAGTTCTCCTTCCAAAAACAGCAGTTGAGCAAATGATTGAAACATTGGAGTCTCAATCATCTTGTATCTCTACTATCCATAACACAAAAATGATTCATATTCCTCAAAGCCTGTATAATTTTGCCCACAAAACTCAAGCAGATTCAACAGGGGATTTTACTCAAGCTCTAATGGAACAATGTATCATTTCATCAAGCTCATAGCAATCATCTAGATATTCCAGTTTCTCATTTGTGATTTGCTCTCTGGATCCCAAATTTGACAATTTGTGAGGCCATTTGGTGTACATTCACTCTCAGTGTCTCACTCACTCTTCACCTCAGTGTATGGGATATCTTTATCTAATTATAATGTCAGTTAGAAAGAATCAATATTCATATTACACTCATGTAGAAGTGTGACACAATTGAAGATATATTTCTAAAAGACACATTATACTTGAAGGTGAGGTAAGATTATATTCAAACAGAGATGCTAAGACTACACTGTGGGGCAACTGTTCACTGGGATCATGTGGGATGGGACCAAGGTATCCTCACAACAAGTGGTTGTGTGGAATAAGGTGTCAGCAGCGTGAGCGCGGCTGCATGGCCCTCACTCATGCCTGTCACCTATTCTATATGCATGATGTGTCAGCCTATCAGCGGGTGAGCTGGGTTGTGTCAGGCCGACCTGTGAGCTAGGTGCTCAGCATCTCAATTAGCTTGGATGCTGGCAATCCAAGCTGACTTGGATGCTGAGCACCAGGCTGGCATGTGAGCTGGGATGTGTCAGTGCAACCTCCCAGCCACATTCTCAGCACACACCGAAGCTGGATGACCAGAACCCAACATCACATCAGGTGCTGAGTATGGGGGTATTTTTCTGAATCTGTATGAAATTTGAAGTGAATCAAGATGACAACTCCACAAAACAAGAAAAAAAAATGTGGTTGGCAACCCTTCAAATAATTTGGCCCAACCATTGATTCTTTGATGCCTTTTTTCCTTTTCTGATACATCCATGTTACACAAGATTAGTTCTGTTGAGGTCATCCTAGAACTGATTATGAATATCTTAAGTTTCTATTGAAAATAAAAAATACTCATCAATATCTTAGGCAACCATCCTAATGATGCTATACAGTGAAACCATTTTTTTAATAAAAAGATATCTTAACCCTCTTTGAACCATCAAGAAAGAACACAAACAAAAACAAAACAAAAACACATAACTTGCTTGCATCACACACAGAGATTTGATTGGTTTCTATATATTGTACATTTCATTCCGTGAGCAAAGACAAAACTATCCTAGTGCGATTTGGATGGGCTGGTTACCAAGCCACGATAAGGCTGGAAGAGGACTGCAATGAGGCAACGTCCACCAGCTCAACACAACGTGAGCTTTTCTTGCATGGTTAACAAAAAGTTGACTTACACTCTAAGAGCATCGCCACTGGTGGTAGGTAACTGTTGGAAAATATCAGGAAGTGTCCAATTTACCTTACGGACCCGAGCCACCGGCACATGTAAACTGACGTTTTGACACATGGACTATGCAGTTTTCATTTTTGGTTTGCTACTTGAAGCCAACAACAAAGGCAATATGCAAGAGCAAACTTGACTTAGCTTAACTAAGCCCCTCGCGCGGACGCTTCCGCACCCTCGAAAAGGGGCTCATGACTAACACTGTTTTTTTGGCTGTGTGACTCCACGTTTTAAGTACCCTTATGTTGTTTTTCTTGTCTCTGCTCTTCCAATTTTCATAAGTTTTTCAGACCTTCGAGTATGTTGTTCTTTGTCAAATTGTACATATTGTGATATACTTTTCCTGAGCACCAGACATCCCTGCATGGCTTGAGAGCTGTGCTGAGGATGCGAAAAACAGGCCTTATGCCCTGTTGTAAATGCCCGAAGACCACCTAAGCCAGCTGGATATCCCTTGAATGAAATTTGAAAGCAGCTTAATTACCTATCTTACATCACGATTTCAAAGCACTTCTGCTTCATCTGAACCATAGTAAATGGTACTGTGTTATGTACAACTTGATGAGGAATAACATACTGGAAGGTCTGAAAAATTTAAGAAAATGGGAAGAGGGGAGACTAAAAAAACATCATAAGAGGACTTAATGTCTGGAGTCACACAGCCAAAAACTGTTTTAGTCATAAGCCCCTCTTTTGAGGGCGCGGACGCGGCCGCGCGAGGGGCTTAGTTAAGCTAAAAACTTGACGCAATATTCAACACCTCTGACATTTTCATGGACCAAACGAGCGAGGAGTCACAGCGACCTGATGATTTCAGGACCACATTGAGACATGATCTCCTGGTTGTAAACCAATTGGGCGCGCGGCAATGCAATATGCATCAGGATGAGCCCCGGGCTTTTGGTCTTGGAGACCGACCAATCCGACCCCCCGAGCAAAAAGCTAAAACCCAGTCCGGCTCCCGAACCGACCCCGTCCCGGCGGTGATTTATACCTAGGCCCTCAGCCCGGCCCTCGACACCGAAAAATCGGTGTTCCACCAAGATGCCGTTTTTCCGCCGAGTCCCTGCGAGTTCCCGATTGGGCTGAGTCTTTCCTGGAATAAAAAAAAACTGCTACTCAGATATTCACAGTTCCCGGTATTTCATCATTAAGTACCAACTTCATGAGTACACTCACAAGGAGTGTGCGTAAATCCAGCTCATAAAAGAACCTTAAAGTAATGTGATTAAATTGAGGCCATAAAAGGAAGCTGCTGTCCTTTACGTAGTGTTGTCTTGCCCCATCCGTTCCACCTGGCTAGCCAACTTTACTATCTTCATATCTTGAAACCCTGATTCAATATATATTTTCTTTTTTACTGATCTCAAACCCATTACTGTTTGACTACATATTACCTTTTATTACATTCTCCTTATTAGTTACAATCACACCAGTTTTCTTTTCTAAATGCCTGCAAACACTTCTCAATCATCATCTGAAGTTAGTCAAGACACTATAGCAAAACGTGCCAGGACTTTGTATGTCTGGTGCCATTTCACCATTGAGGACAATAAAACAATTTGTTCAGTAGTTTTGTCTAGTGGCAAGGTTTGTGGAAAGGCACTTGCCCGCGACAGGACTTCTAGTACAAAGGCTATGTCAGATCATCTCCAGTGATTCCATGGCTTGTATAATCCCAAGCTGTTGGAGCAGTCAGATCAAACTTCCTTGGAAGGATCATTCAAGAAGATCAAGACTCAGCATGTTGTAAGCCACTTTGACCCAAACAAAATATCCTAGATCGATATTGTGACTGTCCTGAATGTTTGTTTTCAACAGCTCGCGCTGAACGCTGAAACTCTCAAGACAGCAATCTCTTATTTCATTGCCGAAGCGGACCTGTCTTTTGCCTTGATAAATCGACAATCTTTCAAACACTTGTTGAAGCTTTGTGATCCCCAGACATCAGGAATGATTGTCAAACGCCACACGATAGCCAGACACACAATTTCAATGTTTCACTTCTTTCAGAACTACATCAAGAATAATGTATTCAACAAAGCAAAGTATATCTCGTTCACACAAGACGGTTGGACATCTCCAAATCAACAAGCTTACATGTCAATAACAGCACACTTCATCACCAAAGATTTTGAGCTGAAAGCATTGACTATTGGCATTCCGCGTGTTTCTGGTCAGTTGATTTCAATTACTGTATTACTAAAAGAGCTCTTTAAACTCACATATTTAAATCCCATATAGGACGGCATGTGGCTTCTAATTATGCTGATCTGTTTGTGAAATACTTGATCAAGTATAACATTGTTGATTCATTGTCAACCATCACCGCTGACAATGAAAGCAAGAATAGCAAGATAGCAAAACTCAATCACGAGTCTCCTGAAATCAAGGAATTCAATCCTACTGAGTCTCTTTACGGTTGTGTAGCGCATGTAATCAATCTTGCTGCTCACAAAGGCCTTGATGTCTTTGGAGTTGTTGAAGATGCGTTGGTTGATCACTCAGATGGAACGAATGGACCAATGGATCTAGCCAATCTAGTCGATCGATCCGATTCAAGTACAGCAAAGCTTTCAACTATCAAGTCAAGATGTCATGGCCTTGTAGTCTGGGTCCGTAGCAGTCCTCAGAGATCAGAGGCTTTTTCAAAGATCGTTAAGCTACTGTGAAGTCTTGCTCTTGATTCAAGTGATCCAGCTGACCCAACAGATGAAATCGAAGTCAACACTGCACTCCAGTACCTTGCTCCCGAACCAACTGAGAATGTAGACAAAGTTGACCCAATATCTGAAGGAACTGCTTTAGCTCTGATCCCCAATGTTGAAACTCGCTGGAACTCTACTTACCTCATGTTCCGACGTCTCCTCCGCCTCCGGAAAGCTGTCCAGCAGTTCTGTGAACGCCCTGGTGCTACAAAATTTCAGCTATCTGATGTTGAGTGGTCTTATGTTGAGCAGATGTGTAAATTTTTGAAACCGCTCTCCGAAGCCACAAATGAGCTTTGTCGATCTTGATTTCCTACACTCCACACTGTCATACCAATCTACATTGCAGTAATGGGCCAATTGAACAACGTAAGCTTTTCTTCTTCATACTTCACCTTGGATGATTTGAACCTTACAGAGGCTTACTAAATTCAATGTTTTGTATGTAGGTTATATCAACTTATGACAATGACCACTTGATTCCTGCTGCTCGAGCTATGATTGAGAAGCTTGAGACTTACTTCAAGGATGTTCTACTCAAACCAGGTGCTGTATGTGCAACTATATTGGATCCTCAACTCAAGATGACGTTCTTTGAGGTGTGACTGCTCATTCTCAACTGCCGCACTCTACCCATTCAATTTATGGCTGATTTTTTTTTGTCTATCTCATCGTTCTGATACTACAGCTGTTCCTTGATTGCTTGCTTTTATTACACCATTTTCTTGACAATTTTTACATTTTTACAATTTTTATTTTTTTTGTAATTGACTCCCAGTACCTGTTAAAAATACCCTACATTACTCAGATATGCTCTGGGATTGTTGTAGGAGCAAGATAATTGGTTTGGACCACAAGTCATTTTGATGTAAGCCCAGTACAAGTCAAAATGCTTGTAATGTGTCATGCTTATAGATGTTCCAGTGATGTCACTGCTGTATTGTCTATAAACCAGTTGACCAAACTACCTCTTCCATGCCATCAGAATCGGTTTTGGCTCCTTTTCATCGACTCATCAACAATCTTCTTTATGGGCTACATATATCACTCACCTCAAATAAAATGGCTTGTAGTTTGGCATGCCCTCAATGGACTAACACGCGACCAAATCGAAGAAGAAATCGGCATTGATGTTTCTAGCGACTCAATTCGGCGCTGGGTTTCTCTTTTTCACACCACTGGAGCAGTCATATCTGATCCAGCATTCAATCTCACTCCTGGCTGCGATACAAAGCTTACAGAAGCTGGCCGCTGTTGTGCAATCCAATTATTAGAGGTTGATCCAACATTAATTCTTGATGAGATTGCTCGAGGCATCAAACAACAAACCGGTATTGAAATCTCAAAGTCAGCGCTTGCAATCGACCTCCGTGATTGGCTTGACTTGACTCGCAAAGTTGCTTGCACTGTCCATCCAAATCGATCAGATGAGATTCATGCTCAGTTCATTTACAATATGGGCAAATTCTCAGCTGAGTGCTTAATTTTTACTGGTAAGCCGATCTCTTCTTTATTTTGCCTTGGTAGGTTCATGTACAAGAATTTCTAATTGTCTTGATTGAGTTGTAGATGAGAGCTCAATCAGCAAGAGACGATTGTATCGCCAAGATGCAAGAGCACCTCGTGGTGAACGCACAGCTCGGCTCCCAAGACAGACTGCATCAAGACGGTACAGCCTACTTCCAGCGATCTCGCTTGGTGGCTTGGTTGGTTTGAAAGTGAAAGAAGGATCGATCAAGAGGGGTGATTTTGAATCTTTCCTCTCTGATCATGTGGTAAGTACCAATTCAATATCACCATAATAATATTGTGGTTTGGTTTGATTGATGCTGATCATCTCTTGTGTCTTTTGCACTAGCTTCCAATGACAAACCCCTTTCCTGGACCAAACTCGGTGATTGTTCTTGATAATGCCAGTGTTCACCACAATGGTGAAATCCGAGCGATGTGTAGTGAGTATGGTGTGTTTGTGGTTCACTTACCACCATACTCTCCCAATTACAATCCAATTGAGAAGGGCTTTGATCTTGCAAAAAGTCACCTTCGTCGATCAGGAGTCCTGCTAGACAACTTAACTCCTGAAGAAGAGATGGAGGCAATATATATCACAGCAGAGGAAGTATTCACACCAGAGATGATAAATGGTCTTTATGAGGGATCGGTCTGGCTCTAAAGGTCAGCATCTTTCTCTACTGTTCCACTGCTCCAATTTCAAAGTCTTCAGTTCCTGATTCTTGTCCGCTTCTTCATACGAGTCTTATCACCTTAGAATTGATTTCACCTTATAATACAAACTATTTACCATCTATGCTTTACTTTGAGTTGGATTCACATCTGATTCATTAAACAAACCATGTGAAATAGAGAAATCTTTGACAAATATACTATTTTGATGTTGTTTGATCCAATATATGCTTCATCTCAATCAAAACAAGTGTTTTTCTCATAGACAACAAGTTGATACAACACAATTTTGACACTCAATTCAGTTGACTATGAGTGAGGACATACATGTCAAGTTTAAGAAAACAAAAGGCCCATATAATGAAGTCAAGATTTCCTAGTGTTGTTTGGAATTTTACAAAAATTGGTATTCTGATTTGCATACATGATTCAGAAGTTTTCCACCCCAGCTTCAACAGAAATTACTGAGACAAACAAAAGAAGGAAATGATATTTGTTACATTTTGATATCGATGACCTCTTGCCTAAATATAATTGTGAAAGTTAGCTTCAGCTGTACAAATAAATCATATAAATAACTGAGAGTATAAGAATTTTACGATTGCAACAGTGTTCAGAGTTACTCATTCCCCAATTGGAATAAAGCCCCCTGCTTTGATACTTTGACGTTGTGGAAATCAAATTAAACAAGATAATTATTTGATATACATGAGCCAACAAGTTCCCTTTGCTTATTTGAAGCTACCAGTTCAATAATTCAATATGATTATTATTCTTTATTCATCTTGCTGCATTACATTATGACAGTCTATCTACATTCAAAGGAAAAAAGAGGAAGAAATTACCATATATATATTCATACAAATACCACAAATAGGCACTAAATTCAATATGAGATTCATCCTCTCACTATGGCATAATCAGTCTCAATCAGATTATCATTATGTTCATTTCATTCTTCTATATTATTTCATCACAACTTTGAAGATACAGTTGGCAATATACATATAAATGAATGATACAAGGAGTCTAACAAGAGAACAACACAATTTCCATTACATACCTAAATCAAAGACTGGAATCGAAATTGAAAGGATAGGTTGGTTTTAGGGTACAAACCTACAATGAACAAAACAAAAGGGGCTGAGATCGAAATGAGAAACTTAAGAAGACCAAGATGAGCATTTGAAATGTCAGTTTCAGTAGTACAAAAGAATAGGAGGAAGGGAACTTACAAACAAACAAAAGAAAGTAAAAATCGAAAATAAATTAAATACACTGTCCTTGAGAGAAGATGAATCTCGAGTTCAGGGTCTAGAATCGAAATCAACAAGAAGAAAGAAAAGGGAACCAAAGTTAGTGTGTGAATAGAATAAAAGGAAGGAGATATGAAAGAAATACATACCCAGTTTAAAAACCAAAGGATCGAGTCGAATAGGGGCTAAAAGACACAAATAAATCCTTCGATTAGAGGATGAAAAAGGGAAGGAGATAAGGAAGGAAGGAGATAAAAGAATAGATTGATTAGTAAAAGAACAAAGATAGGAGGAAGGTAAAGAGAAACAAACAGACTTACCTGAGAGAAATCGGACGGAAAAGATCGGAATCGGTCGGAGCGAAAGGAACGAAGCGGGGAAAAGTTGAAGAAAGAGCCTTGAGGCTGAGTTGTGGTTTGGTTAGGGAAAGATATAAAAGGAGGAGGTTGTTGGTGTTGAAGGAGGAGGGAGGAGCTCGTCGCATCGTGTGTAGAAGGTCTCGAATCGAATC